TGCTGTATCTCATGTCCTCATTCCCTTACCTGCCTGCCCACTTACCAGGTTTCTTACAGAATGTGTAGAGCAGCAACAGAAGGATAAGCAACATAGCAATGAGTGCTGCCCACCAAGTGAGAAGGAACACGGTGAGCGAGCAGAGCAGAGAGCCCACGAAGGAGAGCCAGGGCCTGTACCAGTGGAAGGAAAGACACCAGACGTCAGGGGAGAGTGAATGCAGCCTATCTCTTGTCCAAGCCTCAGTACCATCCACTCCTGCACCACAAGGGTGCTCCTCCAACTCTCCCACGTCCTCCCAATCCAGAGGCTGACCCCATGCTAATACATGCCCACACTAACCAGGGAACCACGTAAGGAAGGCGTGGAAACAACCAAAGTTGACAAGGGCATAGGAGCAGAGGAAAAAGTTAGAGATGACGGGGGTCGTGTTCAGATCAGCTTTGGGAGAGATGAAAGGTCAGAAGGTCGGTCTCCAAATGAGTCATGGGTTTGAGGTCTAGAGAGACAAGGACAGCAGATTCTGGCTTCCTTCCCCCATACTCTAAAGCCCTAGAAGTCAGAGGTAGGGCAGTGAGGGGCACTGTAGCCTGGGAAAGGTGATTCATGAAGGCCTGTGTAGGGGTGGAGGAGAAGTGCTCACTGATAAGGTTGAAGGAGCAATAAGGAATGTGAGCGGAGGGCCTCACATAGGTTCATGCTTCTTGTCTTAGCTTTTCCCAAAAAAGCCCATGACGGTACAGTTTGTTCTGGCACAGCAACTCTTAAGAGGGCATGGCAATCACTGGGGAACGGTCCCAGGAAGAGGGAGAATGATTGCTCCCTCCTCCTCTCGAGAGGCAGGAGGGAGTGAGGAGCACAGGGGAAAGAGCTGAGGGAGCTTAGGGGTATTAACGGGAAGAATGGATGACAGTAGAATGCAGTGGGACGCCTGGTAATATGGGATGGGAAAACGGGAGGCAGGTGGAAGAGAGAGCCCCTCCCTAAACTTTGCTTGATGTACAGGCAGACTTTGAATTTTGCTATGTGAGCTTGGACTGTCTCTACACCGGCCAACCAGTCATCTCCACCTCCCTACATCATCATCTAACTCCTGGTTGCTGAGACGGAGCCCTCTTGTACTCCTCCTCCTCCAAAAATTATACTCTTAGGATGGCCCTAGACTCTACCTACATTTTCTCCTTTTCCCCTCAAGCCTCTTGGTAAGATACCAACTAACCTGGAAGACTTTGGGGGTTGAAACAAAGCAAGAAAGGGCAGAGGACAGAATGGCACTGAAGATTCTGGGCAGACATCAGGGGGCTAGAGGCAGACACCATGCTCAGTGCATTCCACTCATATTTTTACCTAGCTTTCCCACAAGTTGCTAGACATATTAAATTTTATCTTGTCTTTGCAGGTTTTACCCCACCCATATGAATCCCCTTAGGTCATTATTGGTTTTTGAGCATCTACTCTGTGCCAGGCAATGGGCTAGGTAGGGTTTACCCCTCTCATCTTCCCCTCTGGTTCACTCACCTGGTGGTGATCAGAGAGGGCATATAGGCAGGACCCTTGTTCTGGACAACTGTGGAAATCCTAGCTGTACTGATACTCTGGCCCCAGGCAGCTCCCATTCCGCACACCCACGTCAGTCCTATTTCCTGGATCTTCTCCAATCATACAGGAGCCTGGGAATGAGATTGGGAACACACGTTCCTTCATGGGGAGAGAACCACATCGCAGAGCAGTAGGACTATCTAGGTACCATCAGTGCCAAAGGGCGGAATGGAAGTTTGTATGTAAGATGGGAGTGGCGGGAATACAATTTTTTTTTCAAAAGATTTTAGTTATTTATTTATTTGAGAGAGAGAATGAGAGACAGCACGAGAGGGAAGAGGGTCAGAGGGTCAGAGGGAGAAGCAGACCCCCCGCTGAGCAGGGAGCCCAACGTGGGACTCGATCCCAGGACTCCAGGATCATGACCTGAGCCGAAGGCAGTTGCTTAACCAACTGAGCCACCCAGGTGCCCCTTTTTTTCCTTTTTTAAAAAAGATTTTTATATGGGCGCCTGGGTGGCTCAGTTGGTTAAACGACTGCCTTCGGCTCAGGTCATGATCCTGGAGTCCCTGGATCGAGTCCCGCATCGGGCTCCCTGCTCGGCAGGGAGTCTGCTTCTCCCTCTGACCCTCCCCCCTCTCATGTACTCGCTCTCTCTCATTCTCTCTCTCTCAAATAAATAAATAAAATCTTTTAAAAAAAAGATTTTTATGTATTTATTTGAGAGAGGGAGAAAGCCTACGAGGAGGGGGAGGGGCAGAGGGAGAAGCAGGCTGTCCGCTGAGCAGGGAGCCCCACACAGGGCTTGATCCCAGAAGCCTGGGACCATGACCCAACCTGAAGGCAGATGCTCAACCCACTGAGCCACCAGATGCCCCAGGAATACCAGATTTGATAATCAAAGAACACCACACAATTTTTTAGTGAAATGAGGGATGGGGAGAAATGGTGAAGGGAGGTGAGGGGCTACCTGCATGTAAACTACTTCTAATGTGATTGATGAAGTCTCTTGCTCATTTCATCACCTATATCCTCAGCCCTCAGAGAGGCAGAAAGCAGGGTTCCAGGTCATTCTGCACAGAAGGCTGGAGTGGAGGGCCTTACCACTTGTGGCAGAGATCCCCAGGTAGGAAAGCATCCACATGATGGCAAGGATAGCTGTAGCAGGGTCCTGGAAACAAAAGTGGAATCATTAGTGGTGAGAGAAGGGGGCAGATGACGAGTATGCTCCATACCTTAGTGTGGTTCTCACTCTGAGGTCTCCAGAGATATTGGTCCTTGTGAGTACCCCAGTGGCTAAGGAGAAGAAGATGGAAAACATACCAAAGAAACTGCCCTCTGGACCTCATCACTGTGGGACCATATTTTCCAAGAAAATTTGTATTTATGTAAAAGAACATAGAGAAAAACTGGGTTTTTGAGGGGGCAATTCCTGGCTTCCCTTCATTCAGCCAAGATCATAACCCCTGTACCCAGTTTACTGTCAGTGACTTAGGTTATGCTGGGACAAATAAGGCAAGATTGTAAACTAGCCAGTCCAGGGACTTGTAGGACTCTGAGTGTTCTGATGGTTAACTTGAAAATGACATACAGAATCAGAAGTCACGGGGTCTTTTCTGGGGAGGCTTGGGCTAATGAGGTACCCTGCTCCAAGGGGAGGTGACATTCTGAGGCATGCATCCCTTTAATACATTTCTCAGCCAGCTTCCCATTGTCTCACCTGGGTACTCAAAGAAGCAAGTGGCTTGTCAGCTGGGGTTTGTGAGGAGGAATGTTCTAGCAGTTAGTTGATAAAAAGAGAGGATCGGGGGGTGCCTAGGTGGCTCAGTCGGTTAAGCATCTGCCTTGCGTTCAGGTCATGATCCCAGAGTCCTGGGACCCAGCAGGAGAGTCTGCTTCTCCCCCTGTTCCTCCCCCTGCCCCTGCTTGTGCTTGTGCACTCTCTCAATCTCAAATAAATAAATAAAATCTTAAAAAAAAAAGAGAGGGGGGATCAGGAAGATCATTTGGAGGAATACCATGGGTGACCAAAAAAAAAAAAAAAAAAAAAGTGAGTGGAAGGGGAGAAAGAACTCCTCCTCCTCACTCTCCTCTCCCATCCTTTAAGTTCCCTTCCCATCAGCCTCTTCCCAGAAAGGAGTCCTTTTCCTTCTTGCCTCAAATTGTAAAGTTTCCCTTCCCTTGCCAGAGGGGTAGATCTCAAGATTGTAAATATCTGGGAGCAGGAAACGGCATTTCTCATCTGGTAGTCTTGTCTAGTGCTCATCCCAGCAGATCCCTAGAATGAGTCCTTATTTTTCCCTTAAAGAGTTGGCATATGGAGTCTGTTCCAGCAAATCTGTCCATTTTCAGGTTGGGTCCCTGAGAACCTGCTCTGCCAGCTATACACACACACACACACACACACACAATTCCACATCTCCCCACATTTGGCCCTTTCCAGATCTGTCCAGCTCTCACGGCCATCCCCTCAGTTACTCTCACCCCCCACCTTGACTCCCTGGCCACTGCCTTGGACCTCCACTCCACACTGGCCATTGCTAAGCACAAAAGGACAATCATGGTCACCATGCCGACCAACCCTAACTTATTTTCCAGATCTATATTAGGTAGGTGCACCCATGCTCCTGGAAGGGCAGAACGCAGAGGTAGTGGATTACAGAGACTTTAGTGACTGATTTGATGCCTCCACCTGATTCTTAAAATGACTTGTCCAGGCTGGAGTCACAAAAAGTGCAGGCTGGTGGTCAGCGGACTTGGGAAAAGGGCGTATCAAAGGAGGGGATGAACATTACCAGGAGCAGGTTTGAAAAGATCTCTGTGAAGCCTGCCTTGTGCCTAGCCAGGACTTGTTAGCCAAAGCGAAGATGATCCAGATGGAACTGCCAAGTGCTGGACCCAGGCTTCTTGAAACGGGAAATAGTGCCACTGAGAGGAGAGGAAAAAGGAACCCGTCTGGTGTCACCCCTCCCCCACGTGAACGCCACACTCTCACCCGAGTGTAAGGAACAATCGTGCTTAGATTCCCGGTTAAGTCAGCCTGTTGGGTCAATCTATCCAGCCTGGACCAATCTTTTTTTTTTTTAAGATTTTATTTATTTATTTGACAGAGAGAGAGACAGCGAGAGAGGGAACACAAGCAGAGGGAGTGGGAGAGGGAGAAGCAGGCTTCCCGCTGAGCAGGGAGCCCGATGGGGGCTCAATCCCAGGACCCTGGGATCATGACCTGAGCCAAAGGCAGACGCTTTAACCGACTGAGCCACCCAGGTGCCCCTGGACCAGTCTTTTTATTGGCCAGGGAATCCACCCCAGCAGCCCCCAACCTGTCCTACCTTCCAGGGAGAGGGGAGAAAAGAGGCATTGCTGTCCCAGTCCCTAAATTCCTTCCTCATGAAGATACCTAGAACTGCAGCGAAAACCCCAGATTTAGGGAGTCTCAGAAAGTGGTGTTATCCTGGGTAGAGGGAGCAGCTGTTGGTGTCCTGCCTCAGTGAAAATGTTTATGGCCCCCCAGGACTTTCGTCCCCCCAGCAATGGAGATCACCCCACCTTCCACAGTCCTCATCCCAGAGACCTAGGTGAGGGTTAAACTCACCCTGACTCTCTGAACACACAGGGTTGGGCTTCTCTTTCTCACCACTGACCCCACCCCAGGAGGGAGGAAATACTGAGTTGCGGGGTGGATCACCTGCGGGGTCCTGATCCCTGCCCCTTCACCTTCACCAAAGCCTAGAACTGACCCCAAACACACCCTTCCCTCTTCTGGCCCCATGCTCCTTCTGGTCTGCGCAGACCAGACTGCCTTCCCCTTCCCCCTCCAGACCCATCCGGTGAACGCAGCCTTTCTCGCCAGGCTCACTCCCCCAGTCGCATCCTCCTTGGCTTCTGAATTTGCCTTGCTCAGCACAAGGATGTGACCTACAGGTGGAAGGGAGGAGGTCATCTCGGGACAAGGCCCGGGGATTGGGTGTCAGAATTTGGGCACCCAGAGCCCAGTCCCCAAGCCCGCCAGCACCGGCTATAATTAGTCAGGTGGGGCCACTGACCTGGTTAAGGGGCAAGTTCTCTCTGCCACACCGTCCGAAGCTGAGAAGGTTCAAGTGAGAGACAGGAGGAACGCTGGTGTCTTCGGAGGGTGACTATCGGGATGGGATGGGGGCAAGCCGGGTGGGATACACTCAGGGTACTGAGTCCGTTCGTACACAGGCGCCTTGTATGCTTTGCCGCGCTTTGTGAATCCCAGAGTTGGGCAGTATAGCCTAGCTGCTCGAGCCTTGGGATGGGGGTGGGGAGTGGGGTTTGAAGTAGGGAGAGGGGCTGTCATGTCGCTGGGCTGGAGGCCGGGGTTCCTCCGGCCTCTCTGGGTCCAGCACTGAACCCCTCCTCTCTTCCCTCTGTTCACCTGCGGCAAAACAGCCAACTGGACGATGAGCATCTTGGACTCCGCACATCGTCCCTCCGACCCGGGGAGCGTCTCTCTTCCCGCCCAGAAGGACCACCTTGACCTCCCTTTACCTGACCGGAGAACGCCCTCCTGGCCTCCTTCCCCGGACGAGGATCCCAGTTTGCCCCCCTTTCCTCTGGAAGAGCCTGTCCCCAGGCCTAAGGCCCCAGGGAACATTCTGTCACCAGCCTTGTCCCTAGAGGAGGAAGAGAATGAAGACGAAGAAGGCGCGGCGGAGCCGGAGGGACTGCGCAGCGAGGAACATTCGAGCCAGTTTTTCGCTGAAGCACAGCGGCTTCGGGAGCAGAGGTTGTTGCTGGACGAAGAGGTGTCAGTTGGGGGGCGAGTATACGGGGTGCATCGGGTAATCTTGGCTGCAATTAGCAGCCTTTTCCGAGACAGGCTGCTGGGCGGCAGAGGTCCACGACCACCCCTCAGCCTCGATGTGGCCGCCGGGGCCTGGGAGGCCGTGCTGACCTTTGCGTATGAGGGGTTGCTGGGCCCTGCCCCGTGGGGAGATGTGCTGGTCGTGGCCGAGGCTCTGGGAGCACCCCGGGTGAAGGCCGCGGCCCAGGGGAGACGCAAGGGGACTGGAAGCGCCAGGGAAGATGAAAAGCAGCCCAGCCCGGCAGAGGAGCTGAGGGAGAACCTGCGTAGCATCGAGCTCCTATACAAAGAAGGCGTTGGGTGTGACCTGGAGCTGGAGGCAGGCGGCTGCCGGCTGCGGGGTGAGGACCTGTGGGGCATTACCTTACTGCAGGTGCAAATATGTGTGTGCAGGCTGCAGGTGGTTTGATCCCTACCACAGCGGTTTTGATCCCTGCCGCAGTCAGAATTTCCATGGGGGTGGCCTTTGGTGCCTTTCCAGACCTACTGAGAGTGAGGCATGCGCAGCTGAGTTGTTTTCCTGGGAGCACTGACAGATTTAAGATGACCCTGTGGCTTTCCCTGGGGCCAGTAACAAGGAATTTCCAGCCAGCTGGCTGGTGTTAGGAGTATAGTCTAAGCCAGGAGAACAAGCAGAAAGTGATTGACTCAAACAGGGATTAACCAAAGACCCTTCTTGGCATCTTCTATTTAGGATACAGGAAAGCCAGAGGAATATGGTGGAAAAATTCACTGTGTCCTCTCACCTAAGGATGCTTGACACCATGGTAGATATGAGTCCTACAGCTAACGAACAAGGTCTGGTTTTGTTTTGCCACAATCTTAAGACCACCAGGACATGGCACTTTGAAGTTAACTGTGCTCATCACCAGGAAAACTAACGAGGGTTGAATAAGTTGAGTGTTATTCAGATTCTACTAACTTAGTGAGGTACTGGGGTCCAGGAATTTTTACACACCTCATCTCTTTTCATTCTCACTGTAAACTAGTGAGGTGGGTACCATTATTCCTAGGTGCAGGGGAAGAGCGGTAAACTCAGAGATGTTAACTGGTGAGAACCAGGATATAAGCTGTTATTCACTAGCCCAGTCTGCTTTCACTAGGCCATGCATTCCCTCCTAAGCAACCAAACCAAAGACACAAAGGATCTGACAAATGGGAGTTGGAATGCAGGCACATACAAATTTAAAATTAAAAGGTATTGATTCAGAGATTGTCTACTTCAGCTTGTATACTTTACTGATAAAGAGACCAGACTTTAAGACATGTCCAAAGTCACATAGCTACTGGTCATTAGAATGACTGGAACCCAAAGTGCTTCTGGGACTCCCAGAGGAAAAAGCATCCTGTCTTAGCTTGGACTGCTTTAACAAAACATAGACTGGGTGGTTTCACAACAAATTTATTTCTTACAGTTCTGGAGCCTGGAAGTCCAAGATCAGGGTGCCCCTATGGTCAGGTTCTGGTTAAGGCTCTCTTCCTGGTTTGCAGAGGGCCACCTTCTCACTGTATCCCCACTCGGTGGAGGGAGAGTAATCTCGCTCATGCCTCTTCTTATAAGGGCAGTAATCCCATTCACGAGGGTTCCACTCCCATACCTAATGACCTGCCAAAGACCCCACCTACAAATATCACCACACTGGGGACTATGGCTTTAACGTATGATTTGGGGGGAGGGGAGACATAAACATTCAATCCATAGCAGGTCTCTAAAGTGCTTGTTATCATTTCTGATAGTAGCAGATGGAGGGGGGATTTACAATTTCATAGTTATAAAATTCTCTCTAGGGTTTGGAATTTAAACATACTTATATCCCTGCTTTCATTTCCCTAAGAAACATTCCAACTGAATGGTGGAAACCTGCCCAGTAAAATTCTAGGGAATACTGATGAGTAGGAGGGAGAATACAAGTGGCTGTGACCCATTCCTGGTGGCCCTGAGCTGTAGGTTGGTTGATTATATGGGAACTGAAATGGCTTACCTGCTTTGATGAATGCAGATTTTCTCAGGCAATATGTTTTTGAAAGCCGTCACTGATGATCACTTCCTGGGAAGCACCGAGGCGCTACCGACTGCTTAAAAAGACAATCACCTGTCCTTTGAGAGAGGCCAATGTGCCACAGTTGGTCAGAGCAGCTGGAGGTTCGTAAGCTTCCCCAGGAGTTCGGCCCTGTTAGCTGCCTGAGAGGACTTCCAGCAGCATTTCCCCCTTTTTGGCTATGAAGCACTTCAAACACACAGCAAATTAGAAAATATTAATACGAACACTCAAACACCCATCTCCCAGAGTTAACAGTTAACATTTTTATGATATTTGTTTCGTCTCTTTATTTTAGTTATCACTGAAGTTTAAATCTGTGGCATTTTGCTGACAAATATTTGGGTCTGTGTCTCTTTAAAAGAGGACATTACCATAATACCTTCCTCATGTCTAACAAAAGGAACAATAATTCCTTAGTATTACCTAGTCCACGCTGAAATTTTCCCACTTGGCCAAAAAATGTCTTTTAGCGCTGGTTCATTCAACCCAGGACCCACTCAAGGACTATGCTGTGCTCAGATATATGTCTCTTATGCTTCCTTTACTCTTGTATGGTCCTCTCTCTCCCTTTTTATGACTTGACTTAACTGAAGAAACAAGATTAGTTATCTTAGAATGCTCCATTTTCTAGATGTGTATGTGTTTTCTGTCATTGTTTTAACTTGTTCCCTTAGCCTCTCAATTTCCTATAAATTTGAATTGAGGGCTAAAGGTTCAGTTAGATTTGGGTTAAATATTTTGGTCAGAATACTCCATTCTGGATGCCAAATATCTCAAATTGAGTTGCATTGGGAAGCATATTAGTCTAGGGAGTTAGTAGCATTTGTTAACCTGATATTTTCGGTGTCATGAGGCCATGCAGACAGGAAGGGCACTGATACGAAAGTATGCCCCTTGCAGCCTGACGTCAGTGCCAGTGGGTGGTGAAGATCAGCTCAGACAGCCATGGAATAGAAAATAGATCACTTCCTTTCTCTAGGACTCAGTTTCCTTCTCTTAAAAGGAGTGATTGAACAGGATGATTTTGAAGGCTTCCGGTTTAAAATTCACGACTCCATGAATTCTACTGAGATCAGGGGCGGGGGGGTGGTGCAGAGAAAAGCTGCACATGGGAAATCTTAAGCAGGAAATGGCACTTAGAGGAGGTTAGGTCACAGCCATTCCTGAGTGTGGTACCATTTTCTAAGTAAAACTGGACTAACGGAATGACTGAAGCCAGTGGCTCTTACAGTGGTAAAGGAAAGAACTTTATTTTGTGCACAACAGAGACCTATGTAAGTTGCACATTGGTCTTTGCAGTTTATTTTGTGCCCCCTTTTAACAAATGCTGTCTAGAGCATCTACTCAACTTGATTGATCAAGGCTCTTTTTCCAGTTGACCTGGATCAAAAAAACCGAAGCAATGTTTATTGTGGTGTCTTCAGGCCACTAACATGAGATTCATGCAGGGTGCTTGAAAATGTTAAGATACAAATTTCTGGGGTCTCCATCTAGACCTACTGAGTCAGAATCTCTGGGGGTGGGTCCCTGAATCCTGCATTTTAACAAGCACCCCGTGGTATTCTGTTGCACACCACAGTTCGGCCTGGGGCCTTGGGTGGTGGGCCCAAGTTGGGGGTGTGAAGCTGGGATCGTGCCTGGCAATTTGCAACACTCTGGATTCCCGTCTGCTTCTCCTTCTTGCAGTGCACCGAGCAGCCCTGGCCTGTGGCAGCGAGTTCTTTGGCGCCATGCTCCTGAGTGGGATGAGGGAATCCCAGGGCACAGAGGTGTCTCTGCACACCATCTCTGCCCAGGACCTGAGACTCCTCGTCTCTTTTGCCTACACGGGTGCTGTGCGGGCAGGGTGGCCAGGACTACTGAGAGCTGCCCAGACTGCTGTGCGGTACCAGAGCTCTTCTTGCCTTGCTCTGTGCCAGAGAGCCTTGGCACGGGGCCTCAGCCCTGCACATTGCCTGGCCCTGTTCCCCATAGCTGAGGCCCCTGGGTTAGAGAGGCTCTGGAGCAAAGCCCGTCACTACCTCCTCACCCACCTGCCTGCCGTGGCTTTGTGCCCCACTTTCCCTTCTTTACCGTCTGCCTGCCTGGCTGAGCTCCTGGAGAGTGATGAACTACACGTGCAAGAGGAGTTTGAGGCCTTCATGGCTGTGTGGCGTTGGTTAGCTGCCAACCCCGAGACCGAGGAGTCAGAGGCCAAGGCCCTGCTTCGACGTGTTCGCTTTGGCCGCATGTCCACCAGGGAGCTGCGGGGGGTACGGGCCGCTGGGCTGCCTCCCCCCCTGCCCCCAGACTTGCTGCATCAGCTCCTGGTAGAAGCTGCCGTTCCGGGTCAAGAGAGGCGGAGGGAGCCTGACCAGGCACTGGTAGTGATTGGCGGGGATGGGCTCCGATCAGACATGGCCAGAAGACAGCCCTCCCGAGGAGTGTGGTGGGCCCGGGCCTTCCGCTGCGGCACGGGACTGGTTCGAACTGTGGAGTGGGGACGGCTCCCTGCCCTGCCTGCCCCGGGGCGCTTCCGGCATGGGGCTGCGAGCCCGGCAGGGAGCCAACTCTACGTGTGTGGGGGACAGGATTTCTACGGCCCCGCCAACACCCTGGCTTCGACTCTCAGGTATGGGCCCCACAGAAGAGCAGGCCCCAAGGTGGGCAGCTGAGGGAAATCGTTGGCCTGGCCACCCACAGAGTCCCGGGGTCACTCTTCTCTTCTTTTGTTCCGCTGTGTCCAGGTGGGATCCCGGTCAAGAGGACTGGGAGGAGATGGCACCTTTGTGCCAGGCTCGGAGCTTTTTTCCCCTGCTGGCCCTGGATGGACTACTTTACGCCCTGGGTGGCCGAAATGGTGATGTTGCTCTCAACTCTGTGGAGGCCTATAACCCCGAGCTCAATGTCTGGAGGTGAGCAGGGAAGGGGCTGTTTCTAGACATCAGGGAAAGACCAGGGGACTTGGAAGAGAAGTCGAAGAGGACTTTTGCCTGATCACGTGCCCTGTTCTCCCTTAGGCCCGCACCTGCCCTTCCAGCACCACGCTTTGCCCACGCAGCTGCTGTTTTGGAGGGCCGATTGTACGTGAGCGGAGGCTGCAGCGGCGCTGGCCAATACCTGGCCTCGTTGCTGCACTATGACCCCAAGCTTGAGAAGCCAGGGACACTTCTGAGCCCCATGGGGGTACCTCGGGCTGGCCATGTCATGGCTGCTCTGGGTGGCCGGTTGTATGTAGCAGGTGGGCTAGGCGAGACGGGAGACCTACTGAGCCTTGAGGCCTATGAACCGAGGACTGATAGCTGGACTCATCTGGCACCTTTGCCCTCCCCCCATGTGGGGGCTGCAGGTGCTGCGCTGCAGGGGGAGCTACTGGTGCTGGGGGGCTACAGCCACCGTACTTATGCCCTCTCGCACCTCATCCATGCTTACTGTCCTGGCCTGGACCGATGGCTCTGCCTGGGAACTCTGCCCAGGCCTCGGGCTGAGATGCCTGCCTGCATCCTGACGCTGCCCTCTGTGCAGCACGTAGCTTTGGTTCCCACACGGCACCAAGCCAAACCTGCTGGCTGAGTGCGGAGCCGCAGTGGATGGGGGCGGGGGCGGAGGAAGGGATCAGAAACATCATGAGAGAAGGACAGAGATGATGGGGGGAGAAAGAGAAGGTTTTATTCACGATAGCATTTTATTCCAGCGCAGTGTTCTATAACTCACAAACTGCTTTTGTATATATGATCTTCATTGAGCAAAAGGTAGCTCCAGAATTCCTGGAAAAGGCTGCTGGAGAGGGGGAAGCAGCTGAATGCCTGGATAAGGCAAGGAGGCCCAGGAGCCACTCTACAAGGTTTAGGGACCCTGACCCCATTGTTGGTGGGGCAGGCGCATCTGGCTGGGAAGATAGTTAAGAAGGTCCAGTAGTCAATGTGTAGGGGCCATGAGAGGACAGTCAGAAAAATGATGATTCTGACTCATGGATCAAGATGAAAACTGTGGAAAGGCCACCCCTGAAAGAGTTTGAGAAGTGTGGGGGAAAGGACTGTAATTGTCATGCTCTTCCCTTTTTCAGGACTTGCTCCTTTCTACTCTCCAACCCCTGGGACACCTAAGCCCTCTTGGCAATATTCTTTCTCAGGTAACTTGCAGGCTCAGTCCGGCATTTCCTCAGCCCACACACTGCACGCTGCCCCTAAGAGCCTCTTGGCAGAAGTCCTTGTCCCGACCTGGCGCTGCACAGGGGCTTGAGTTGCCCTGGTGAAGAGGCGGGAGTGCTGTGTGTGGGGAGGAGGAGGAAGGCCAGGTGAAGGAGTGAGGCGTCTGTAGTGGGAAAGGGATGGGATGAGGTTTGAGGGGGTGGGGTGGAAGAAGCCAGAAGCCTGACTGGCTTCTTTCCTTCCTTGGGGGTGGGTTCAGGGGTCAGGATTGACAACAGGACAGTTGCTGTGTGAGGTCCTACCTCAGTTGTGAGAGGAGTTGTGAGAGGAGGCGGCAGAGAGAAAAAGTGAGAGGCAGAGAGGACTCAGGAAAGTGTTTTCCCCCTTTTCTTTCCCTTTCCTCTAGAGTTTTTAAGATCCACTTCCCTTTTTTTGGCCAGGAAAAGTTAAGTCAGATGCTTCCTTTCTCCCTTTCTCCACCCTGCTCTTCCTTCCTTTTTTCCCCTTTTTTCTTTTCACTTCTCCCTTCTCCCACAGAGTGATCTATCACCTACTATGTTCCGGGCACTAAATGAGGCCCTAAGGACACAGAGATCAGAGAGCTCCTGACCAGCAGGTAGACTTGTCAGTGGACTTAGGAGTATGGCCACTTATCTCATCCTTCGTATCCCTCGCTCTTAGAGGTATGATAGCCCAGACAATGGAGGAGTGAACTCTGCCCAGGGAAGGCTTCTGCTAAGGAAGTCATCATCAAATGGGTGTAGTTTGAGTTGGACTTTGAAAACCCCTTGGAAACTCACCAGTCAGAGAAGTAGGAAGGCATTCCAGTCAGAGAAAAGAAGCAAGTGGGACATGTAGTGCCCTGTGTCTCTCTAGCAAAGGAGAAGTCAGTATTCCAGAGGGTTCTTCGGAGGCTTCTGCTGCTGTTGCCAGCCCACCCTCTTCTCTGGAGCTTTTCTGAAGACGGTAGCTTTCACTTAATTGTATATTCCCTCCATTCACAACTCCCCTAAGTCTTTCCTGTCTGGTATTTCCATTTCTGACCCCTGAGCAGCTCAGGGCAAAGAAGGGCCAATTCAGTTATCTATTACCATTGTTTATTAAGATTCTCATGCTCCTAAGGGTGAGATAAAGGAGCCTCTCTTGTACATTTCTTCATCCTGGCCTGGAGGCGCTTGACATACTTTTGTTTATATTTTTGAGATTTCATTATTAAGGTTTTTTTTCCTCCTATATCTCTGTTTTGGAGCGTAGATGAATATGAGGAGGGATAAGTAGGATATATATGAGAAAAGGGAAGAAAGATTGAAGAAACCAGAGAAGAAGGAAATTGAAGGTCCCGAGGAACTATGAGGATTGAGTCTTTAGGATGAACTTCTGTGAACATGTTCTTTGCGGTTTGTAGGCAAAGACAGGCTTAAATAAATGTTTCATCATTATCGAATGATTCTTGTATGAGTTTCTTTATTATAAAAAGCATGTAAAAGTCCCCTGTAATTTGGCTCCTATCTCCACCACACTATTGAAACTACCCTCCCTCATTGTCACCATGACCTACTTCTCACCAAATAATCTAAGGCTATCCTCACTCTTCTTCATCTTTCTGCAGGATTGACTGGCTTAAAATTGGCTCTTATCCTAAATATTTCTCCTCCCCTGGTTCCAGAGAATGCATTCTCCTGGGCCTTCTCTTATTTCTCCAATCCAAAGAGGTGGCAGAGGGGGTGCCTGGCTTGCTCAGTCAGAGGAACATGTGACTCTTGATCTCGGGGTTGTAAGTTCAAGCCCCATGTTGGGTGTAGAGATTACTTAAATGAATAAATACATAAATAAACTTAAAAAAAAATTTTTTTTTTAAAAAAAAACCCAAAGAGGTGGCAGAAAGCTATATTGTCCAAAAGGGCATGACTCCATCCCAGGTGGAGCTGACAGCCAAAGGTCCAAAAGTATGCAGATAAGAGTAGTTAATTACAGAAGTCTCTAGCTTTCATTATTTAGGGTTTTTGTTTGTTTGTTTGTTTTTAAATGTAGGCATCACACCCAGAGTAGAGCCCAATGCAGGGTTGAACTCATGACCCTCAGATCAGGAGTATGTGGCACAGTCTGGATAAGGAAGAGGAAAACTTTTTATGAAAGCAGTTTCCAGGTGACATATCTTTACACGAGGACCAAGAGGCTGGCTTGGACAAGCATCACAGTTTAGGCCTATAGGCAGGAAAGTCTTAACTACTCTTTCAGGGCCATAGACTACATTCCAAATCCTGGCTAACCTCTGGGATCAAGGGGCTTTATGTGGAAGAGTATGAATTTATCACAGTTCATGGTAATACAGGACAAAAAAATACACACACACACACACACACATATATATATATGCAGGGATGTATGTGTATGTCACTAGCAGTGAGATTATAGTCTTTTTTTCTCTAAGAGATAGGATGTTCATGATATTATTGTTATAGCTGATAATTTAAGATGTAATCATCTGTATTTCTGATTAGAATAATGAAAAAAAGGGCAGCTTGAAAGTGTACTGAATTAGGGTGGCTCAGTTGGTTAAGCGACTGCCTTCGGCTCAGGTCATGATCCTGGAGTCCCGGGATCGAGTCCCACATCGGGCTCCCTGCTCGGCAGGGAGTCTGCTTCTCCCTCTGACCCTCCCCTCTCTTGTGCTCTCTCTCTTTCTCTCTCTCTCAAATAAATAAATAAAATCTTAAAAAAAAAGTGTACTGAATTAGAATCAGTCACTTGGGTTCGAGCCCCAGATCAATTGCTCCTTTGGTAATTGTAAGTCCCTTAATCACTTTGAATGCTAGTATCTTAGTCCATAAACTAGGGATCATACCTGTACCATAAACATCATAGTGCTAGTGGAATCGTGAGCTCCAGAGCTTGGGATAGTCTTAAGGACCTCTAGGCAAATCTGGAAAAGTATGCCCTGGTAGTCTGTAAACCAAGTTCCAAGGCCACATCCTTTTTGATCAGTGAACTAGATGATGTCAAACAAGATAATGTGCTGTACAGTCCCCTGGGACCATGAGTGCCACACACAGGGTTACGAGGTATATCCCCAGCTACTCTGGCTTAAAATTGCTCCTAAGATAGCGCTGTGGGTTCATCTGGACTCTAGCTAGGGCCAAGGCATTTAGAGGGTTAGGGTCTCCTAGCTATATACCAGCTTGAGTAATCATCGGATAGGCAATGTGAACCCCAATGCATACTTTTCAAGCAAACTGTCACCGATGAAAGCCAACTCTCTCATAACAAAGTAAAAACTGCTTGTCTTATAGTGCTTGCTATGTACCAGGCAGTGTATTAAATGCTTTACATACATTATCTTTTAAATGTCAATACGACCCATAAAAAGTGGATGCTATTATTATCTGTTTGTTTAACCTCTAAACTGAAGCTTAGAGGAGTGAATTTATTTACCTAAGGTTACATAGTTTGTAAATGTTGAGTGTATATTCAAACTCAAGTAGAAGGATTTCAAGCCCACTGTCTTTCTTTTTTTTTTTAAGATTTTATTTATTTATTTGAGAGAGAGAGAGAAAGAATGAGTGGGGTGGGGAGGGGCAGAGGGAGAAAGAGAAGCAGACTCCCTGATGACACGGGTCTCCATCCCAGGACCCCGGGATCATGACCTGAGCCCAAGGTAGACGCTTAACTGACTGAGCCCCTCAGGCGCCCCTGAGCCTGCTTTCTTTGTTATGCTACCTCTCCAGTGTAGATCCACCTCCACAGAGTGGTACACTTTATTCATGAAACTCATCATTGGAATCTACAAATGGGAGCAATCAAGGGGTATAAATGGCATTGGAGGCTTAGAGACATAGTCCTGAGGAGTCTGATATACAACTGCTGTAACACATACTAGTTGTGAATTTCAAAGAAGCTCAGCCAGAGCAAGGGGCTCTTCCTCCCAGTAGTTTGTTTTATTTGCCAGGATATGTTGAGCCAGGTATTGTTATGAGTACAATATATCAGGTGAAACTTTTCAAATAAAGGATCTTGACTGGCCCCTTTACCTTATCAGCATCATCTGGACTTATTGCAGACTCAGAGACCAGTCTCTTACTCAGTTCAGGGTTTATGAGATTATTTACCTTATTTTCTTCTGCAGCCTAGGTCACACAGCTCATCAATAGCAGAGCAGAATTTAGACACAGATCTGTTGGACTCCAGAGTGCACATTTAGTTACTATACTATACCATCTCCACCCCCATCTTAGATTACTCTAACATGGTGGCCAAGTATTCCACTCTTCCTGGGACTATCCTAATTCCCATGTTTGATTTCATTATTCCTACAAGCCATTAGAAGATTCCCCCAAGTCCACTGTTTTTACATCCAAAGTTTACTTTGAAATGCCCCATCCACCCAGAAGCAGCACTCAAGTCCTATGTGAGATCAGGTGTCCCGATCATGTTTTTAATATGATTACTTTTTTGACATGAGTCTTTACGCCTCAGGCAGGTCCCATCTTCCAAGACTTATGGACTGCTGACATACTCTTTTAATGTGTTCATGAAAAGGGCCTCCAGGGACACATGGGTGGCTCAGTCAGTTAAGCGTCTGCCTTCGGCTCAGGTCATGATCTTAGGGGCATGGGATCGAGGCCTACATCAGGCTCTCTGTTCAGCGGGGAGTCTGCTTCTCCCTCTCCCTCTGCCCCTCCCCTTGCTCATGTTCTCTCTCTCTCTCAAATAAATAAATAAATAAAACCTAAAAAAGAAAAAGAAAAAAGCCTCCAGGGCAATGGTTCATTTTAACAGTGGTCTTCTGTAGGCGATAATGCTAAAGACATGTCAAAGGGAGCAGATTACTGTGGCCAAGGTCTGGACTGGAAATCAAGGTACTTGTGTTCTAGTCCTAGCCCTTTCTCTGACTGACCATTTCAACCTGGGCAAGTCATTTGAACACTTTGGACTGTCAAGTGAGAAATTAATGAGTAGTTAGGAAAGTGATAACAGCTGTTTTTCTCCAACTGCTAAAATGAGGCTAGCAAGCTATAGGCAAGATTGTCCAGCCCTGTTTACAGCCTCCAGGATAGCTGATCCACAGCATGGACTCCTCTTCTCAGGCCCTCACAAGGAGCAGTGTTATGGGATGCAATGCTAAGTGCTAGAGTACCTGGCCATAGTAACTTCTGTAGTGAATTTGGGTAAGTTTTTGTTAGGGCTGCATATCTAGAATGTGGCCACCCAAAATGGTCTCTAACCACTTGTGTAGTCTGTTCAAACACATGTTTGCTAATATGCACAGAGCAGGTGTTGAAGTTACCTATTAAGTGAGTTTTAGACAGCAGGGATTATTTAGTGCTAATACTTGTTAACAAATATCCCAAGACGTTATGAAAGTTGATATTATATTTTTATGCAAAAGGCAGAAGAAGGTGGAACAATATATTAAATCTGTTCACTGTCTTCTGTCAAGACCTCTTCCCAATACTTCTCTGTAGGCTGAGAAACAGGTCCACTTCCCTGACCACAGTGACTAGACAAATACTAGGGCACAAGGGTGGGAAGGAGTGCTGAATCTGATAGATCACCACGGTGTCTCCTTGGATTTGTTGACTACAACTCTGGGGCTGTACAGCTATTAGGGAAACATGACTTCACTGCCTACATCCGAGAGGTTGGTTTGGATGCTGATTAATTTGATGTCAATGAATAAATATTTGTTGGATGAATGTTAATGTTAACAAGCCAGAGACCAAATGCAGGGTTGTTTTGAGTTAGAGGAGTCAGAAGGAAGAATGCCCTAAAGTTCTTGCCACCTGCTGATGTGGCTTTCAGATGTCCCAGAAGGGCTGCTTAGGGCTGTCAGGTGTTACCGAATAAGTGCTTGTCCATGTATCACAACTTGTATGATGTTTCGAAGTTGGCAGTAGTTAGACTGAACAGAAACATAAGCTGTAAATCTAAAGGTACTTATTCACAAAAGAGAACAAATCCATTGAAACCAGTGGCCTTTACGTTCCCCAGGCTTTCACTCCTCTCAGCTTCTTATTGGAGGAGTCCCGCCCTTCCCAGTTCAAAGTCCTATCCCTCCAGGAAGTTACTCAAACTCCCTACCCCACATAATCCTGTAGTTTGTTCCCTAGTGGAATATAGCATGTCTCATAATCCCGCCTATTATTTTTGTGACTTCTGCATGTGTCTCCTTCTTGAGATCGTGAAACCTTGAGAAGAATGCATGTTTTATACATTTTACAGGCTATCATTTGCACTTGGTAGATGCTTAACAGATTAAACAATATTTTAATTGAAGTGTAGTTGACATATAATATTATAGCGAACAGGTGTTTGTCGAATCAAAATGGGAGGACAAGAAGTGTGCAATAAAACAGATGAGAAGAGATGAATAATTTTCATAGGTGGTAGGGCCCTTAATAAAGGGGCTTCAAAGAGCTGAGAGGATGGCAGAAAGGAATCAGCCTGGACACTATAATCTGAAGAAAGGTTGCTTCAACCGAAGAGAGTGGCTAATTTAGAAAAGCAGGCCTCAAAAGAACAAATATTGGCAATGTGCATTTACAACTGTCCACTGGAGAGAAAAACTAAATTTGGACTTTGTAAACTTTTTGCCAGTCGAGAGATTTTCTCTGTTACAAGGCAGAGATAGTTTATCTGGCTATCTCAAAATCCAGCTGAAATATCTCTTAGGGATTGGTCAGTGGCTCTCTAACTGGGACAGAATCAAATTGGGCCCAATAAATATAAAGTATGTATATGAAATTCAGGTGTGGCAGGGGCTTTCCTTATTAAACTGCAGTGGAGTAGGAAGTTACTCTCTCTCCATCTGGGGAATCACTCTAGACCAGTGGTTTTCAAAATGTGGTCCCAGGATCAGAGATCAGAATCAACATTACCTGAGCAATACTTGTTAGAAATGCAAATTCTTTGGTCCTATCCTAGATCTACTGAATGAGAAATTTTCAAGGGGTGTGGAGGGTGGTGAGCAGCAACCCCAGTTTTAACCAGGGGTTATTAAACTTCAGCATATATCAAAATCACCTGAAAAGCCTGTTAAAACACCAGTTGCAAGACCTTGCCCCCAGGGTTTGGAAATGGAGACTCCAGGGCCCATTCCACTTGTCAAGATTAGTGCTTCTCAATGTTTAATGTGAGTGGGAATAATCTGGGAATCTTGTTAAATTATAGTTTGTGATTCATAGGTCAGGGGTGGAGGCTGAGAGTCTGTGTTTCTAACAAGGTGATGCAGATGATGGTGGTCCACAGCCCATAGTTTCATTAGCAAGACCCTGGCGCAGAGGTTCCCAAACTTGTCTGCACATTAGTATCATCTAGGGAGCTTTAAAAATTACTGGGGTCCGGGTCCTACTCTGGAGACTGATTTAATTGGTCTGCGGTGTGGCCTGGGTTATGGAATTTAAAAAAAAAGATTTTATTTATTTATTTACTTATTTATTTATTTGAGAGAGAGAGAGAAGGAGAGAGAGAGAAGGAGAGAGAGAAGGGTGGGGAAGAGTAGAGGGAGGGAGAGAGAGAATCTCAAGTAGACTCCCTGCTGAGAGCAGAGCCTGCCACTGGGTTGGATCTCATAACCCTGAAATCATGACCTGAGCCAAAACCAAGAGTTGGAGGCTTAACCAACTGAGCCACCCAGGTGCCCCCGGGGTTATGGAATTTTTTAAATATCTCCAGTGGTTCCAGTGTTTAGGCTTTGCCGGCCTTGAATTTCTTTGTTGCTACAGCTAACTGGAAAGTAAACTCTAGATCTTCCTAGTAAATCAGGAAATGGGGGTCCCTGTTGCTATTCTTCCTGCATCATTAGTGTTCTCTGATCTGAGGCTTCAATGCTCACTGGATTAAGTTGGAAGGGCTTGCATATCCTATTCTTTCACTGGTAGAGCAGATAGTTCCCACAGAGAGCTACAGACGAGGAGGCCTTGAGGTGGGACAATTATCTAAGGTATCCCCCTTGTTCCAAGGGGAGGAAGCCTTGGAGATTTAGGCCTTCAGAAGGAAGTCATATGTGCAATCCACTCTTTTCCTCTCTTAAATATGTCACCATTCCAGTCTCCTTGCAGGACCTCTTCTTTCCTGTTTCCTGTTTTTTTGTTTGTTTTGTCTTTTTTTAGAGAGAGAGAGAGAGCTTGGGCATAAGGAGGGCGGGGACGGGCAGAGAGAAAGTGTTAAGCAGGCTCAATGCCCAGTATAGACCCCGACCCAGGGCTCCATCTCATGACCCTGAGATCATGACCTGAATGAAGTTAAGAGTCGGAGGCTTAACCGACTGAGCCTCCCAGGCGCCCCATGGGTTTCCTAGATCTGGTGTTCCTTCACCAAACTCTTCTCTTTCCCCTATAGACGGACCTCCAATGAGCAGTAATGCACCTAGGGAGTGGATTCAAAACTTTGTGGAGGCTTTTTTTCTCTCATAATTATTAGAGTTATCTGTAGACATTTAATGGGCAGGATTAATGTCTAGCCAAGATTGCTAGACATTCAGCAACTGTGCAGGGCCCTCCCACATAATAAGGGACATGCCTACATCACTGACAACTTTGAGTGATTTGCCAGTCACTCATGTAGTTGAAAACTCATTGTAATTAGGGATCTGATTTTATTTTAAATATAATCATAAGGCATTTTATATAAGGTTTAATATATCCTGAGCTTTCCAGGAATGCCACTACTATAAATATTATGGGATGATCACACCTTGTTTTTTCTAAAATTTGCCAGAAATTATTTGTCATTTTGGAAAATCATGCCACATCAGCACCTCTATTCATGGTATTTGAATCACCATTGTAACATCCCCATATCATGCTGCATTTGTAGTTGTTACAGTCAAGGTAATTTTATATAGAGCTGCATGTATCTGAGTACTACATTGTCTTCTTGAATGTTGTGCCCAAATATTTACATATATAAGCACATAGTGTTTTATTTATTTTTTTAAAAGATTTTATTTATTCATTTGAGAGAGAGAGAGAGAGAGAGACAGAACACAAGCAGGGGGAGAGGCAGAGGGAGAGGGAGAAGCAGACTCCCTGCTGAGCTGGGAGCTGGAGCCTTGGGCACTGAGAGATCATAACCTGAGCCAAAGGCAGATGCTTAACCTTCTGAGCCACCAAGCGCCCCCACATAGTGTTTTATAATAAATCATCTTCCTTCTATTCTATCTCTTTAGACATTTTATAAATTTTCAAATTGTGTGTGTAGGTAAAATACATTTTTTATACATTGTAGTTCAGCATTATAAAGGTGGCATAAAAATATTTGTTATAAGAAGGGCGTGTTGGTGGGGCGCCTGGGTGGCCCAGTCGTTAAGCGTCTGCCTTCAGCTCAGGTCATGATCCCAGAGTCCTGGGATCGAGCCCCACATCGGGCTCCCTGCTCCGCGGGAAGCCTGCTTCTCCCTCTCCCCCTCCCTCTGCTTGTGTTCCCTCTCTCGCTGTGTCTCTGTCAAATGAATAAATAAATCTTTTTTTTTTAAAAAAGAAGGGCGTGTTGGGACTGATAAGGCAGGTAGCAAGGGAAGCATCTAAGGAAAGAAACTGGAATCTGGCTCAATAATTTGAGAAGATAGGATGCCCCCAAGTCGGAGCTGAAGCTCAGGTGTTTACCTGAGAATGAAGGGTACCTCCCTAAGGAAGGGATATTTTCCAGAAGACAGATAATCTGTTTTACCCAAGGTAAGCATATTTCTCCTGCAACTATCTGTTTGGCTCTGCTCTTTATGAAATGTACTAGCAATACCATCCTAAAGGTCACTTGTCTCTTTCCAGAGCCTGGTCCTACCTTCTGGGAAAAATTCTGCTTAGCCTTTCAGGATGGCTCCAGATAGATTCTTTGTAATCCACGGCTCTCTCCCAGGTGGACATTGGCACGCTCGCACTTCCCTCTGCCTTCATTATTCCGTTATCTACACCTGCTTACAGGCCACTGCCTTTCACCTGGTTACAGACCATTAGACTTTCTCTCACCTTTTACTTCCACTTTCACCAAGTAACTTTAGGAGGAACTAAGAGTCCAACTATCTTTGACACCAAGAGTAAAGGATCCCAGATAGATAGAGAACATGCCAAAATCCTTCCCAAGAAACGGAGTTTGAAAATGCAGCAGGAGGGCGCCTGGGTGGCTCAGTTGGTTGAGCGACTGCCTTCGGCTCAGGTCATGATCCTGGAGTCCCGGGATCGAGTCCCGCATCGGGCTCCCTGCTCGGCGGGGAGCCTGCTTCTCCCTCTGGCCCTCTTCCCTCTCATGCTCTCTGTATCTCATTCTCTCTGTCTCAAATGAATAAATAAAATCTTTAAAAAAAAGAAAATGCAACAGGAGAAAGGAGGCGGGGGTTGGGGGTGCGGAGGAGGGACGGGAGGGGGGCGGGGACTAAACTCAGGCCCCGGAGAGGCTGCCGCGTCCTCCACGGGTTCTGATCCCGGCCGGCAGCTCAGTTCCCCGCGGCCCGGTGCTCGCGGCCAGCCCCGTGGGCGCCGCGTCGCGCCGGAGCCGCGTTTCCGCCCGAGCGCCGTCCCCTCCCCGCCCGCCCCTCCTCCGGCTTCCACTCCGCCCACTGGCGGAGCCGAGAGCCGGGCCCGGCTTCCTGCTGCCGAGGACCGTCAGCCCCGTCTTCAGCGCCGTGGGTTCCGGGGACGGTCCGGGTGCAGGTAGAAGCTGGCGCGGGCCCTGGGGCCGGGCGCTGGGCTCGGCAGCGGGGAGCCGGCGGGAAGGGCCTAGCGCGGCCACTTGGGACGCTCGGGGGAGTCGGGAGGGCCTCGCGCCGGCGGGAGCCTCTGCCCGCCGCGTCCTCCGGGCTGCTCGGGACGCGGTGTGGGTGTGAAAGGGACAGTGCGGGAGCCGGCGGAGACCGTGAGGGAGAGGCAGGGGCGGGGGATGCAAGGACACGGAAAGAGACCCGTGAGAATGAGTCACTCCTCTGCTCCGTGTGCTCCTTGGAAGGGAGAGTGGCTGCCAGTACCGAGCAGTAGGTGGTGCGCGCACTGCTTCTAATAACGGGGTGTGCTGGGCGGGAGAGTATCAGCCCGCTTAAAAGCGGCGGTAGATGTGTTATACTGAGTGCAGAATAGTGTCTAAAGCGTGGTCCTCTTTGTGTAATGCAAAAAAAAAAAAAAAAAAAGGCGGGGGGATAAACTTGTATATGTAGAGAAAAGTGTCTGAAACTGTTCCTTCAGAACTGTTAGCAGTGATCATCTCTGGGGAATGGAACTGGAGATGGGATTTTTACTTTTCGTTTGTAGTCCCGCTGAATCTCCCTTCACAAACTCCAGGGTGCAAAAAAAATATTTCACTGTATTTTTATGTTAACTTAGTTTTTATTGTAAGACTCTTTAAAAATTTATCATTTTTAAAAGATTTTATTTATTTATTTGTCAGAGAAAGAGAGAAAATAAGCAGGGGGACCAGTAGGCAGAGGGAGAAGCAGACTCCCGGCTGAGCAAGGAGACTGACGGAGGGACTGGATCCCAGGACCCTGGGATCATGACCTGAGCCAAAGGCAGACGCCCAACAGACTGAGCCACTCAGACGTCCCTATCGTAAGACTTTTTATTTTGCTTTGATATATCTTGAGTCAGTTCTGAGATTTCCCACTCCTTTCCCTAGGAGCTTATATAGTGCAAAGACCCGAGGGAAGTGTGTAGGCACAGAGGCCATCATTCTTGATGTAATTTGTTCACACTGATGCACTAGTGTCTGGTGAGATATCATTGTCTTTTCTAGTTTTGGATTGTCAATCTATTCAAGTCTTCTTGGAAGTATTCTGCATTCTTGTCCCTCAGCTCTTGTATATTAAGATCTAAGTGATTGACTTAACAACGTACTTATTCCTAAAATACTTAAACATAAATAGGAGATAAGCACTTGTCCAAATAAGTAAATACATTCCTAATGATATAAATTTAAGCATTTTCTCAGGCAGAGGTTCTTAATTTGCAGTTAATGGGGATTCTAGGAGATCCATGAATGGATTCCCTGAAAATGGTGTGCAAAATGGTATATACTCATGTTTTTCTGTGAAAAAGTTATACAGCTTTCACCAGATTCTCAAAAGCCTTTAAACCCCACTGACAAGGCGTTATAGAAAAAATGGTGAACAAGGTGAAAAGGGTCTCTGTCCTCAGGAACTTATAGTCTGGTGGGGGAAAGACAAACAGGCAATTACAATGTAAGGAATGTGTTCCGTGACAGAGGAGGTTTGCTGTTGGTGAGAACATAGAGAGAGCCATGTATATTAGACTAGGGCTGCCTGTCAGCAAAGGCTCCTTGGAGGAACTGACTATTAAATGGAGGCCTGCAGAGTGGCAGGAAAGTAGAACTTGGACTGCTTAAAGGAGGGGCTGGGGAAGGAAGTGCTCTTGGTAGAAGGAAGAGTGTTTTAGGCATCTGCCTGTGTAAAGATCCAAAGTCAAGAGATACCTTGGCAATTCATAAACTTAAAAGAGCGTGTATGACTGCAGTTTAATGGGAGTAGCAGTAAGAGATGAGGCTGGGAGAGGATCAAAAGCCAGGTTATGTGTGTGATGCTGGCCATGCGGAGGTGAACCAGACAGAGGAGCTCCCTGACCCTCAGGGAGTTTTATTTTAGTAAGGAGAAACAGGACACAAGTAGGCAAGTAAGCAAACAAAATAATTTTTTTATCATGGTAAAATAAACAAGGTGATGTAGTAAATGGTGGCTGGGGTATATATTGAGGAGCTGCTTTAGACAGATCTATATACTGTGTGCCACATGGATAGGAGGGTTTCAACAAAGGTAGTGGCCAGCAGAATGGAGAGAATTGGATAGATTTGAGAGACATTGAGGGAGTAGAATCAATAGGATTTGGTAGTTTACTGGATGACAATAACAAATAACAATAGCTTCCATTTATTGAACACTTACTAATTACCAGGCACTGTTCTGAATGCTTAATACATTTTTATTTATTCCTATAACAACTCTATGAGGTAGGCATTTATCTCAATTTTGTAGATGAGGAAACTGAGGCACAGAGAGTTTAAGTAACCAGCCCAAGTAGATTCAGTGTCCCATCAGGATTCAAACTCAAGTCTATTTCACTCCATATCCCTGTAAGCAGAGTAGGGAAAGGAGAGGGAATAGAGTTGAGGAAGAGTGGGAGAAAGAGGATACATTTGGGGTCTGGAGTTTTGAGTATCTTTCAGTCTTCCAAGTGGAGATGTCCAGTAGGCAAATGGTTAAATGAATATGAAGCTCAGATGAGATCTAGGTCAAAGAATAAATTTATGAGTTGTCAGCACAGAAATGTTATTTGGCACCTATCCTGGGCAAGTGTACAGGATTAGAATAGAATTCTTTTTTTTTTTTTTTTTAAGATTTTATTTATTTATTTGAGAGAGAATGAGAGAGAGCACATGAGAGGGGGGAGGGTCAGAGGGAGAAGCAGACTCCCTGCCAAGCAGGGAGCCCGATGCGGGACTCGATCCAGGGACTCCAGGATCATGACCTGAGCCAAAGGCAGTCGCTTAACCAACTGAGCCACCCAGGCACCCTAGAATAGAATTCTAAGGAGCTTCAGCATTCAAGCGATGGTGGGAAAGAGCCTTCATGAAGAGGGGGTCAGAGATATGAGGGAAACCAAGACAGTGGCACCAAGGCAGCCAAAGAGAAAAGAGAGTTTCAATGAAAGAGTGAGCAACAGTGTCATGTTCTGCTTGAGAAGTGAGGTAAGATAAGGGCCAAGATGTGCCTGTTCTCATAGTAACAAGAATTCCATTGGTTAACCAAGAGGACAGCGTTGGAGGAATAGGGGGGACAGAATCCCATTTAGTTGGTTGAACAGTGAGTAGGAGGCAAAGAAGTTGAGGCTGGTGAATATAGACGTCTTGATCAAAATATTTGTTTCTCTAGAGCTAAGAATCTAGAATCTATACTTAGAATCTATACTTAGTTGGAATCACACTAATAGCCCTAGGAGGCTCCTTTACCCCTTCATGAGGAGACCCGTCCCTTTCGTCTCCAGCACTTTTTTTTTTTTAAACTTCTCTGCTCTTCAGCTTCTGCCTTATCTTTTCCCTACTCCTCTCACTTAGAATGCTCCCTGCATTCTCTCTGTATAATATTTTCTGAATACATCCTTAGAATGAACCCACTCCTAGAAAAAGAAATATTGGTTGTTTCCTGTCTGCAGGTTACTGACATTACCAGGAGGACTATGGGAAACACATACTCCCAGTGCAAACACACTCCAGTGTACCCAGGAGCTCATGACCTGTCTTTCTCTCCTTCTAGGCATATACTGGTTGGGGTCCAGCTATGGAGAAACTCCATGGGCATGCATCTGCCCACCCGGACATCCTCTCCTTAGATAACCAGTGCCTGGCCACACTTCCTGACCTGAAGACCATGGAGAAACCACATGGGCATGTGTCTGCCCACCCAGACATCCTCTCCTTAGATAACCAGTGCCTGGCCACACTTCCTGACCTGAAGACCATGGAGAAGCCACATGGGCATGTGTCTGCCCACCCAGACATCCTCTCCTTAGAAAACCAGTGCCTGGCCACGCTTCCTGACCTGAAGACCATGGAGAAACCACATGGGCATGTGTCTGCCCACCCAGACATCCTCTCCTTAGAAAACCGGTGCCTGGCCACACTCTCTGTTCTAAGAAGTACTGTGTCTACCAGCCCCTTGCTTCACTGTCTCCAGAGAGCTCACCTGGTACAAGCTGATCTGCGTAGCCTGAACATCAGCAACTGTCCACTCTCTGAGCCTCCAACCTGGAGGGCCCAGGGCCTCTCTGAGGAGCGAGGCTGTCCCAGCCGCCCCAGGGCCTTGAAATCCGTCTCTGCCACAGAGAGAGCTCCTGAAACAGCTTTGGTAATAGCTCCAGGCACTCATCCTGACTCCACCCATGTCTGTTGGACGCCCTAGTCCCTAGCCTTTGGTGCCATAGTTTACCCTCTGTGCTGCTCTGTGTCTCTATAACTTCTGTCCTCAGAGCTTCTTCCTGAGGTGCCCTTGACTCTTGGGCTGTCTTCTTCAGCGTCATTACTTTTATTGCATATCAAGTTCAGATATTCTGGACAACAGAGCCAAAACAGGCCCTGTCCTTAGAAAGCGTCTGCTCAGGAGCAGGGGCAGCATGGTGTTGCAGTAGCAGCCCATCAAGCGCTTTTATCAAGCAGGAGATGCATCTGCTATACCGGGCCCGCTTCCCTGTATGTACACGTGTAAATGTATGTCCACTTGTACACGTCTATACAAGCACACTTAGCACACAGGGCAGAATCAGTAGACAAACACGCTTTCCTTCTGTATGGACTTGGGATTCAGACTGAGGCAAAGGCTATACTGTCTCGGCCAACCATAAGCCATACAACCTTGGCCAAGACTTAAGCTTTTGAAGCCTTGATTTCTTCCCCTTTAAAATGTGGTCAATGAAAATCTATCTCAGAGGGTCATTGTCAGGATTACTAGTGCCATCTTACATTTATTTAGGGCTTTGCGATTTGCAAAGAGCCATATATATATTACTTGTTTAGTCTTCTAATGGCACCATTAAGTAGATAGTAGGAAGTGAAGAAGCTGAGACTCAGAAGTTAAGCAGCTCACGGTTGCTGGGGGATTGATCTGGGACTTGGCCCTTTTTCTTCTGAACCCAGAATATCTTAATAGTATCATAGGAGGTGTGTTGTGAGGGGCCCCAGGCTCCTAGGCTGTGGCATCAATAAGGAGATGACAGCAGGGGAAGATCCCAAAGCGTCTGAGCGAAGGCTCAGAAGGTTGAGTTGGGTGTGTGTGACAGTGAGGTGTCACTCCGTCAGCCGGGAGAGTTGGATGTTGGCATGTGAAGGGGGAGGGAGGAGGAGTTTCGGTGCTGGAAGACAGATGTAGACTCTTCCTGTGCCTGGGATCTGCCTTCAGATCTGTCTATGTTTGAGAGATCTGCCTTCGGATATGTCAATGTGATTAATAACTGCCACTGTCCTCAGGGTCATTGTTCCTCTTCAGAAGAGAAAATGCCAGAAGAGAAGGAATGGGTAGAGGTTCAAATGCCTTTTTATAATCTAAGCTTGGGAGAGGAGGAAAAGGTAGAGGAGCCTGTCCTGAAGCTCACTGCTGGGGACTCTGAATCTCATCCTGGGCCCACTGACCAGGCCCTTAAGGACAAGAAGGTAAAAGTTCCAGAGTTGGGGAGAGGTTAATGATGGTGGAGAGCAGGGTGTGAGGTGGTGTGGAGGGGTGGTGACCAAAGGCTGAACCAGATCCCCTCCACAGATGGAAGGGGAAGGAGGGCATCACCCAGCTCTTATTTCTCACTCCCTAATCACCTTTTCTAACCTTGCAGTTGGACAAACATCTTTCTGAATGTGGGGTCATTTCTCTCTGCTCTTGATTTCATAAATCGGCCTGAGTGGGTGCCTTGAGTTGGTCCTCATTACCTCTTTCATCCTTTTTCCCCTCTCTTTCCTGATTCTCAGATGGTTCTCATAAGCTTGCTGTGCTCCACTCTGACATCAAAGGTAAACATAGAAGATGCAGCTGACCTGACTTCAGGTACTCTCTTTGAAGTCTGTAGTGAACTTGCCCCCTTGGAGCCTGAGTTCATCCTTAAGGTACTGTGGTGTGAAGGAGGGGATGGTTGGGAATGGGAAGCTGGGAGGTAGGAACTGTGGCCATGGTGTGGGAGGGGGGTGGTGGCCAGCTTGGTGGGAAGGGAGTAGGATCTCTGGGTGAGTCTGAGGGCTAGTCCCTGGGGTTCTCTGAGGAGCAGGGGAAGATGAGATTGGGAAAGAATATACTAGGGCTCATTTGTTTAGTAAGTACACAGGCTAAGTACACAAAGCTAGGCCTTGAGGGTCATTTCAACAGATATAATGAAACTTGGCTCTGGCTCTTTTTTTTTTTTTTTAAAGATTTTATTTATTTATTTGACAGAGAGAGAGGGAACACAAGCAGGGGGAGTGGGAGAGGGAGAAGCAGGCTTCCCGTGGAGCAGGGAGCCTGATGCAGGGCTCGATCCCAGGACCTGGGATCATGACCTGAGCCGAAGGCAGACGCTTAACGGCTGAGCCACCCAGGCGCCCCTTGGCTCTGGCTCTTAAGGAGCTTATGATATTGTTAGGGAAACAGAACACTCCCAAGTATCACATAAATGCAAACGGAGTAGTAGGTAGTGAATGTTTCAGAAGCAGAGAAATGGTGGGGGAGTGTTTTCTATGAAGCTTTGGAAGATGGCAGGTTTAATCAGCAGTTTGAACCCTGGGTGATTTTCAATAGACCTTGATGGTGGGAAGCCTTCTACGTACCTGGTTGACTTGGGAGGTGATCAGTAGACTCAGAAGAAGCCATGATGCAAAGGTGGATAAGGGCTAGATTATGGAGGATGTAGCGTGCCAAGCCAGGAGGCTTGCGCTTTCTATTTTATAGACAACGTGAAGGGGTCAGAGAAGGTTTTATGCAGGCGGATTAGGCGAGCAAGTTAATTTAGGACATGATGCTATGGGACAAGTGGCTGAGATGCCAACTGTCCCCACCCTGTGCCCTAGGCATCTCTGTACGCCAGGCAGCAGCTGAACAGTCGGACTGTGGCCAACAAAGTGTTGGCCATTGCTGCCTTCTTGCCACTCTGCCGCCCCCACCTGCGACGCTATTTCTGTGCCGTTGTCCAGCTGCCTTCTGATTGGATCCAGGTAGCCGAGTTCTACCAGGTATGGCACTCTGTGCCCTGACCTTTGGCTCTCACTGCTTGCCTGTCCTTTGCTCATTGCATCCCTATGGAAAATTCTCATCTAGTTTCGCCTCCCCTCAGCTGTCTTCAGCTTTGCTTCCCAGACAGGACAGCTTCTCCCCGGATCGGGTTGGGTTGCCCAGTAGGGAGAAGGTGACTGAGAAGAGCTGGACCACAGTTGGAGAAAAATTGGTCTTATTCGTGTTTACGATGTAGGAGATGAGAATCGGAGAAGTCTGCCAACTGGCCCAGGATCATGGAAATGATCACTTTAGAGCTGGGGCTGGAAATCACCTCCTTCTTCTGTGCTCTCATTTAACCCCGTCAAGTGGTCTGGCCTTGTTTTAGAAGGTTGGTTTGTGTCTCACTCCTGATGGTCTTTCCTCCCTCTCTGGTAGAACCTGGCTGGAGGAGAGGAGGACAAGCTGGCGCCCCTGCCTGCCTGCCTGCGTGCTGCCATGACTGACAAATTTGCCCAGTTTGATGAGTACCAGCTGGCTAAGTACAATCCTTGGAAGCACCGGGCCAAGAGACGCCCCCGCCCGCCTCCCCGCCCTCCAGTCAGTCCCTGCTCAACCTGGTCATTCACAGGCCAGACCCCTTGTCTCTGGAAAGGCGGGGTTGGGGGGGGCAGTCAAAGGAACATGCTGACCCTGGGGGATCCCACACTAAACATCTGACATGTTCCTTCCGCCAGAAATCAAGGAGAGAAAGGCAGAGGAGCCAAGTAGAGCTCAGGAGGCAGAGAGGGCAGGGCCTACCTCTTTCTTGGCTGGCTTCCTTTTTGGTAGAGAGGGGCTTTTGGAACTATTGGAATGGCTCTCTCCAAGGACGAGTTCCTTTTCCCATTTTGAAATTGCTTCTCCTGTCCCTACAGAAGACAGGGCGCCCATTTTCTGAGACACAAAAATATTTGCCGAGGTACCTTAGGCCTCTTAAAGATGAACAGAAGAAGGTGAGTGCCTTGTTCTGGGGTTCCATATGTGCATGTAAAACCTTTTCTGAGCTGATATTTAGACATGGAATTCCATTTGGTTTAGAAATACTAATGGCTGGGGCGCCTGGGTGACTCAGTCAGTTAAGCGGCTGCCTTCGGCTCAGGTCATGATCCCAGGGTCCTGGGATCGAACCCCGCATCGGGCTCCCTGCTCTGCGGGAAGTCTGCTTCTCCCTCTCCCACTCCCCCTGCTTGTGTTCCCTCTCTTGCTGTCTCTCTCACTGTCAAATAAATAAAATCTTAAAAAAAAAAAAAAAAAGAAATACTAATGGTGTGGTACGCACATGCCAATTTCCTACCTGGGGATTTCTTAGTTGTGATTGTGGGGTCAGGTTTGAGAGCACTGGGAAAGGCTCCTTTTATTTCCCATTTTGCTCACCTTGGTATTTACTGACAGGTGGCATGTCCAGCTGAATAAGTGAGTTAAAAATGTATGAAATAGGAGCACGTGGGTGGCTCAGTTGCTTAAGCATCTGACTCTTGATTTGGCTCAGGTCATGATCTTGGGGTCATGGGATCGAGCCCTGTGTGTTGGGCTCCTCACACAGCAGGGAGTCTTCTTTTTTTTTTTTTTTGAAGATTTTATTTATTTATTTGACAGAGAGAGACAGCGAGAGAGGGAATGCAAGCAGGGGGAGTGGGAGAGGGAGAAGCAGGCTTCCCGTCGAGCAGGGAGCCTGATGTGGGGTTCGATCCCAGGACCCTGGGATCATGACCTGAGCCGGAGGCAGACACTTAACGACTGAGCCACCCAGGCGCCCCAGCAGGGAGTCTTCTTGAGGTTCTCTCTCCTTCTCCCTCTGCTCCCCGCCCACCCCTGCACATACACACACTCTCTCAAATAAATAAATAAAGTATGAAATATCTACCTTCCATAGGAGGTTTTAAAATCGAACCAAACCTTTTGCATTAATGACAAATAAGGCACTGTACTTTGTGGTTAAGAGCATAGAATCAGGATTTAGACCTGGGTTTAAATCCCCCCACCAGCACCACTTGCTGGCTATGCAACCTTAGCCAAATGACTTACCCTGTCTTACCTCAGTTTCCTCAGATATAAAATGGAGATAATAGCAGCACCTCATTGGGTACTTCATTGGGTTTTTGCGAGGATTAAATCAGTTATTGAATTTAGAGTACTTTTTTTTTTAAGATTTTATTTTTGTTAGAGAGACGGAGAGAGAGAGAGCATGAGTTGGGAGCAGAGGGAAAGGGAGAAGCAGACTCCCTGCTGAGCAGGAAGCCCAATGCGGGACTTGATGCCAGGACCCCGGGATCATGACCTGAGCCACCCAGGCTCCCTGAATTTAAAGTATTTCTAACAATACCTGGCACTTAATAAGTGTTAGCTATCACCGACATCATTATCATTAAAATAGATTATTAGGAAAATAATATGGTGGTGTTACAAGAGAACACATTCTCAGTTGGTCAACTGATCTTTTCTCTTCATCCTAATAATATATCCCAAACTTAGCTCTTCTGCCATAGAAGATTCTACCATGGAAGATACCATAGAAAGCCAACTTCTTTCAGTTTTTTCACTCCTCACAGCTTGCATTGTGCTGATACCTCCATTTATCTCCTCCTCCAAGTCTCAGTGATTTGAATAAAAGCTGCTTTTCTTTTCCCTCCCTCTAAGGACAAGATGTTCTCTGTTCATTCCATCCCCATCTTGTTTTTCACAAGCCAATTATCCCATGTTAACTATTGATAGTTCAATCTTGTGTACATGAAACACATGACCCCAAAGAGCTGCTATGGTATGCTCACTGCAGGAAGCTTGTTGCTCCCTGGGGGAGACTTTTGCCCCCTATTCCTGCTCTTTGCCCACATCTACTTTGGGGGAAGAAATTACCTCATAGGTATAGGAGGTCTGCGGTTCTGATTTCTGGAGCAAGTGACTATTGTTGTAGATTAAATGACCACTGTGGGACTTGGGGGATATTTCCACAGTTTGAGGAGACCTACAACGCAGTGCCAGAGAAAAAGAAGCAGCCGAGGTTCACTCTCAAGAAGTTAGTACGGCGACTGCACATCCGGGAGCCTGCTCAGCACGTCCAAGCCTTGCTGGGCTACAGGTGAGAAGACACACCCTGAACACCCCTTCCACCTGGGTGACCCCGTGGCTTTTCAGCCTCCACGGCCCTGGCGCCTGTAGTTCTGACCCCAGCAACATTAGGGGCAAGCACTGGCTTTGACTGACTGACCTTTCCTTTTCTGAGTTACTTTCAGCTGGCTTTGAAATGATAAGCTTTTCCTCTTCTGTCCCAGGTACCCCTCCAACCTACAAATGTTTTCTCGAAGTCGCCTCCCTGGGCCATGGGATTCTAGCAGAGCTGGGAAGCGGATGAAGCTTCCTCGGCCAGAGACCTGGGAGCGGGAGCTGAGCCTGCGGGGGAACAAAGCTTCTGTCTGGGAGGATCTCATTGGTAGAGTAACTTTGATCATATATTCCCTTCCTCTCTTCCCCATTCACACCTCTACATGTTGGACCCTGACTTAATTTCCATGGCATGATACAGTTATTCTCTTGCCTGGTGGTTGCCTCACTGAAAGTGACTGGATTTGTGAGGTTTGCCGTCGACCACGCCCAAGTGGACCGGTGGTGCCCGCTTTGAGTGGCTCTGGCATCATAGGGAGATCATTATTCCCGATGTGGGTAGGTGATGCACAAGCCTTGATGAACACAGGACAAAAGTGGTACCTTCTCTCTGATTTCACCTGTATCATATTGGGTAAGTCATCCAATCAAGGGAGGACTGGCATATTGGAATCTCCGCAGGAACCCGTAGTTAGGACATGGACATTTTAGGTAATTTGCCCATACTGATAAAGAGAAAAAAAAAATTAAATCGGGAGGCCCAAGTTATTTCAGTCTTCTGTTTGTCTCTTTTTGTTGTTGTTGTTAATTTATTTTTAACTCTACAAGGCTCTTTCTGTTCTGTCTTTTTTTATGTCCTCTTTCATCTTTGAAAATTTCAAGTCAAGTTCTGTCTGTTGAAAAACATCTTGCTGTAGAGTTTGTGACTTTCAGAAGCCCCAGTTTTTTGTTTTTTTTTAAATCTCTTTCTCTGCAAACTGCCACGTGCGGATTGTGCTCAGGGCAGCCTGAATTCTCAGCTGCTTATCTGTCACTGCCCTCACTCTGTGGTTGTCGCTGGGGGTATAGGCATCAGAATCACATGGGAATTAAAACATACACATGCGGGGCGCCTGGGTGGCTCAGTCATTAAGCGTCTGCCTTTGGCTCAGGTCATGATCTCAGGGTCCTGGGATCGAGCCCCGCATCGGGCTCCCTGCTCCGCGGGAAGCCTGCTTCTCCCTCTCCCACTCCCCCTGCTTGTGTTCCCTCTCTCACTGTGTCTCTCTCTGTCAAATAAATAAATAAAATTGTAAAAAAAACAAAAAAACACACACATGCACACACCCATGCCTGACAGCCTCTTCCCCAACATTTGATACCTTGGGTGGAACAGGATAAAGTAGCTGGGATGGCAGCCAGGATGTGTAGCTGATCCTGGTATGTGTCATCTCTACTTCCTCCCTCTGCCCTTGAAAATTAAAATTGTGTCATTTATCTAGGCTGAGTCTTTTTTTTTTTCAACTTCAATAGAGCTTTTATTTTATTTTTTTTCATTTGCATGTAGTTTAATATTAATGGAATCATAAGTGTTCTAGGCAGTAAAGATTTCTTTTTTTTTATTATGTTCAGTTAGCCACTGTATAGTACATAATTAGTTCTTGATGCAGTGTTCAACGATTCATTTTAAGTATAGACTGAGTCTAATGCCCATAGTCTAATCCACTGGTCTCCAGAGTTTTTTGATCATATATTGCAAAAAAAGTTTTGCACACATCAGAATGTGTGTATATATAATTTAAACAATTTTATATATGTACTAAAGAATTATGTACTTTAGGAAATACATAAAATATAATTTTATAAATATAGATCTGAAAGTATGTAAATAAAATATAAAAAATATAAATATATGAATAAAATATAAGACAAAATGTAATTAGATATACAGACCCCTCTTTGGAGACCACAGGGCTCATTAATAACTCATTAACAGTTTTTTTTTATTTTTAAAATTTATTTATTTGACAGAGAGAGACAGCGAGAGAGGGAACACAAGCAGGGGGAGTGGGAGAGGGAGAAGCAGGCTTCCAGTGGAGCAGGGAGCCCGATGTGGGGTTCGATCCCAGGACCCTGGGATCATGACCTGAGCCGAAGGCAGACGCTTAATGACTGAGCCACCCAGGCACCCCTCATTAACAGTTTTTTTTGAATGAAATCAGTGAACTTCTCAGTCTGAAGGATAAATGTTCAATTTATTTATATGATATTGGACTTAATTTCTTATCTAAATGATCTAGAAAACCTCTCATACGTAGCAACAGTTGAGAACAATTTATGAGCTGACAAAGGATGTAATAGTTTATGAGTTGTCACCCATCATTTACATCGTGTACACAACCTAATTGTTCTATACAGCTTGTGAACAGAATTATGACTCGAGAACCGCAGGACTTCCAGAAGGCTGGAAGCTTCTAGCTGTAATTCAAATGAGACTTACATCACCTTAAAAAAAGGCACCACCACTCTCTTGACAAAAGCTGCTGCTAGTGCCTGGGGGTGGGGCTGGGGGCTGATAGGCCATGTCTCTACAGTGGTCCGAATGCACCTCTGGGGGTACCCAGGAAAAATATCACACCTCCTAGTTATGGTTTCCCTCGTCTAAAAGAAAGGATTTTCCCATGGGGCGCCTGGGTGGCTCAGTCGTTAAGCGTCTGCCTTCGGCTCAGGTCATGATCCCAGGGTCCTGGGATCGAGCCCCGCATCAGGCTCCCTGCTCCGCGGGAAGCCTGCTTCTCCTTCTCCCACTCCCCTCGCTTGTGTTCCTGCTCTCGCTGTGTCTCTCTCCGTCAAATAAATAAATAAAATCTTTAAAAAAAAAAGAAAAAGAAAAAAGAAAAAAAGAAAGGATTTTCCCAATATTTAACCATACAGATCACACCCCTAGGGTCACCTAGTCCGTGTGTCGTATGGTACACGGCACATATGAGAGTTCAGGTTTGTGGAGGAAGAGTAGGGGTTCTACAGTACAAGGACATCCACAGAGCCCCTCACTCTTTTTTGGTTTCTGCATAATGACTTACCAAACTTATCCTTGAATTATAAGTGGATTTAGAATTATTATTCAGTCTTAACTAAACTAACCATCTAAAATGGACATAGGCCTTAAAGACATTATTATTAAGAAACTATGATTTGAAGATGATACTAATATCACAGAACAAATGGACAATATGAAAGTGATGGGGTGAAATTCTGCTTTAGCGCAAGTCTTTTCATTTCAATGAAAAATAATGACTGTTTAATCAGACCTCACAAGAAGTTTGCCAGAAAACTTAAAAATTACTAGGAAGATTATTTGAAATATGAATTTACATACACTATTATTAAAGGTGAACCTTACCTTAGGTTATGTTGTGCCTCGAAATATTAATCCGATGATTACACTACATGTATACAATTTATAAATAAATAAACATACACTAGGAAATTTCATGTTTCACCATCTAAAATGTTTGGAAATCATTACTCTAGATTAGAGAATATATTTTGCCAGTTGAGCCCAATCTCGTGGCTGGACCAGCAGACAAAATAATAATAGGGGTTGTTTATTCAAACAGCAATCTCGTAAACAGTGTTCAATAAATCTTGCTCCACACTTTAGGCCAATCCTGTTTTTATCTTTCCAGACCTCTAAAACATTTTGAGTAGGATAGATCATATGTTAGTACCTCACTCCCTCCATCCTGAATTTTCTATGTGGCCTCTGAACTTCTTGCTCTGCTCTGTGACCTCTCTCACTTATCCTTTGTCTGCTTTCCTCACTCTGTGCCTGACCTTCCACAGACCATGGGAAGCTTCCCTTCATGGCCATGCTTCGGAATCTGCGCAACCTGCTGCGGGTTGGGATCAGCGCCCGCCACCACGAGCTTGTACTCCAGAGACTCCAGCATGAGGTATGTGTGAGGGGCAGGGGGACTGGAGGTGGGTGCCAAGATGCTGCTGCATCTTCCTCGTGGCTGGGGAAAGTCATGGCCACGAGCTGTTTCCATGTGGGCTCTAAACAGGTATGGAGATGTGGATAGGGGGCAGACAGATCTGGGGAGATAAGCCCCAGAGATTCAAGTATAAGATCTTCCCTTGGATCACTGACTTACCAAGAAGAGGCACCTTTGTGATGTAACTGACTTCAGAGGGAGTCTGATATAAAAGAAACCAGGCTCCTTCCATTACTTGCTCTCCCTTCTTTCCCTCTTCCCATATTCTCACCTGACAGCTTTCTTTTTTCTTTCTTCTTCTCCACCTTTCTCTGTATCTCTTCTCTAATATCCATTTTATCCTTCCTCACAAATCTAATAGAGTGGTTATCTCGTATTCCTGGTCCCCGAGGCCCCTGAGTAGCTCCGCCCCCACACTCTCTGATATGTTGCTCATGACCCCTCCCTTGCTTTCCAGAATTCGGTGATCCACAGTCGGCAGTTTCCATTCAGATTCCTTAATGCCCATGATTCCATCAATAACTTTGAGGCCCAACTCAAAAGTAAAGGTATTATCATCTATCTTCCGAATCCTGTTTGTGTCTCGAGTCTGAGAGTAGATGAACTAGGAGCATTGGTATGTTTCAGCCTCTTGCCTTCCAGTCTCAGGGTGTGGGGTGGGCAGAAGTCAGACAATTGCCAGCTCAAGGGTCAGGGCTTAGGACAGGTATTAGTGGGAGGACATAAGGAGGGAACAGAAGCTAATAGACATTGACTCCCTTACTTATCTGTCGCCACACAGCATTGCCACTGCCTTCCAATACAAAGCTGATACGTTCGATAATGACTAGAAATGCAAAAAAGGACAAGAATTGGACCTATCGGAGGTATCCTTACAACCCAAGTCGTCAGAAACTTCGGACAACAATGATGATACCGGTGATATATGAGCAGCTCAAGTGGGAAAAGCTGAAAATACAAAAGGCCGGGTGTGTGTGTGTGTGTGTGTGTGTGTGCGTGTGCACGCTATGCTATCTGGGAACAAAGGGTGGGCAACAAGAGGTGTCCTTACAGGGCTTGGGAGTCGTCTGGGAACCCCAGCTTTTATTCTGTGAAGACATGCTTGCCCCAGTGGCTCACTGTCTTTGTATAGCAAACCTTGCCTTTAACATTGTCCTATGGAGAAATCATGAGAAAAAAACTATATTTGGGCCTCCAGTTTATTATCTGGGATTGTTTTATTGGTTTCTGTGGGTTCCATGAATCTGTGCAGCATTCTCCTTTCTCTTATTGTACGCTGGTGTTCTCTGCTCCTGCTCTGGTTCTGTGTCTCTTTCTTCTCCATGGTATCTGTTTGTTCTTTTTGTTTCTCTCTCTCTCCGTCTTTATTTTCCAACCCATTTCTTTCTTTCGTTCTTTCTTTTTTTTTTGTTTATACATATAAAGATAGTTATCACCGAGCAGGCTCAAAGTCAGACATAAAACCTGTAAGGTTGATGAAGTCCCAGCACTCTGTCCTTTAGATGCTTCAACAGGATCTTCATTCAAGACAAATGCAGGGCTCATCTAACCTACTAATGAATCCATGGCTGAAACCAGGGCCACTTAAAAGTCAAGCCTGGGGTCCAGTCCAAACAACATGCCTTCGCTGGCCAGTTCAGCAGCCACTAGCCACACTTGGTTATTTGGAACTGAGATGTGCCGGATTTTGAGGACAGTATGAAAAAGGATGTAAAATATCTCCTTCGTAACTTTTGTATTAATTACGTGTTAAAATGAAAATAGTTTGATATGTTAAATCAAATGTCATATTAAGTTAATTTCTCCTGTTTGTTTTTACTTTTTTCCTCTGGCTACTAAAAACTTTTATTAGTTACATGTGTGATTTTAATTTTGTTTCATTAGTTGTAACTTAATTCTATTGGATAGCACTGGTAGAGAATACTGAATTTTCTAGATTAAAAACATTATTATGAGAAAATTTTAAACATGCACACAAATAATGAGGATAGTATAATGGACTCCCATAAAACTGTTAGCCACATTCAGTGATTATCTAGATTTTATCACAGTTCTTTTAGTGGTCCCTTTCTTCTTTTTTCTGGGAAGGTGTTTTTAAGAACAAATGCCGAATAATAGGATACATTTTATTTCATCCCTTCCTGTTTCACACGTGTCTCTTAATACATTTTATTATGTAGTTAGAATGTCATTAATATACCTAATAATTATAATAATAATAATTGCTTGGTATTATCCTTTATTATCTAGTCCATATTCAAATTTCCCAATCATCTCAAAAGTATGATTTCACAATTTTATTCAAATCAGAATCCAAACAAGGCATACACATTACATTTGATTATTAAGTCTCTTATATCTATTTTAATATTTTCATTGTCTTCATGCTATTGACTTACTGTGGAAACTGGCTTCAGGGACCCTGCAGAGTGTCCCACATTCTGGATTTGTCAACCTCCTCATGGTGTCTTCTAACTTGTTTCTCTATTTCATGTGCTGAGGGCATTAACTCTGAAGGCTAATATAGCTTCAGATTTCATTTTTTTTTCCTTGCAAGAATATTTCATAGGGGATCCTTTGTACACTGTGAGACCACCAGACTTTTTTTTTTTTTAAACCTTGTAATAAGATACAGGATCAGGAAGCACCAAAGATCTGGTGGTCCTACTCATAGTGATGCTAAGACTGATCCATGCTTTTAAGTGATTATAGCCTGATCTCTTCACTGTAAGTTGATGGTTCATCCATTGGTGATCTTTGCCTGAACCAGTTCTTTCATTAGCAGTTCTAGAGTGGGAGTTTTCTATCATTCCCCATATTTATTAGCTGGAACTCTAGAAAGAACCTGTCCTATTAACTTAAACTATTCAGTTACCCTGAAGTAAAGATTCTACTGGAAAGGTGGGATGAATGTTCCCTTCTTTCCTCTTTAATTTCCAGTTTTCAGAATAGGAGTTAGTATTTGTTCTTTAAAATATAATTAAAGAATATGGAGCAGTTAAGTCTTGCCTCATGAAGTAGGTATGGATTGATGTGGGAAGTGTGGCAAGTGATTTCAGAGAGTGAGTCTCCAGATGACTTCCCCTCTTCTGCCATGAGAATGGGTTAGTAGAGGCCTTTGGAATGGAAGCCCGGAAGCTCTGCCCCAGTCCCCCGTACCAGCCGTGGAGGCAGGCTGTGGCAGGGGCGCGAACGCTCAGTACTGGAGTGCCAAGTTCTCATCTTCCCGTCTGCCTCAAGGTGGCAAACAGAGAAGCCCCTGAGCCCTTCTGTCTGTGTCTTTTCTGCCGGCAGACGGGGAAAATATGATAGTGAGATGTTGGCTCGGTACCGGCAGGCCCTGGAGACAGCTGTGAACATCTCCGTGAAGCACAACCTGCCCCTGCTGCCCGGCCGCACCATCTTGGTCTATCTGAGGGACATGGGGATAGATGAGCTCTGTCGGAAGAGCAACCTACAAGGGGTAAAAAAAAAAAAAAAAAAGTTAAAAGGTGGGGGTTAGTAGGATGCTGGGGATCCTGAGAGCTATCCTGTTCCCAGATGCGGTTTTCCCAAGGAAGTACTCAGAACTGAAATAAATGGCATGCATTTGCTTCTCAGTATCGGGCCTTGGTTCCTAAGGACAGTTCCTAGAATGTGGTCTCAAGCCTGTTCATGGATTATCATACTTCCGTATTTCACATTTGGCTGGTACTTAATTCTCTCTATATTTCTGTCACCAAAGTATATCTCATTTTTACCTCCCTACATCCCAGTGTTGAATGTGGGCAGGAATCCTGGCCCTTCTCCACCTTCCTCCCTGGCCAGCTCATCCTGAGAGCTGCTGAAGCTGTCTCTTCCTAACTGGAGATTTTGTCCCTTTTCCCCAACCAGTGGAGGTGTTTGACCTCCAGGGCTGGATGGGCAGTGGTGGGTTTCAAAATAGGGGAGCCTGGTTTCAAAATCCTGGCTGCCTTGACTGGCTTAGTTGGTAGGGCATGCAACTCTGGATCTCACGGTGGTGAGTTCAGGCCCCATGTTGGGCGTGGCGCTTCCTTAAAAAAAGTGGGGGGGAGGGGTGAGGGGAGCTGTATTTCACTGTGATGTTTGTCCAATCAGCCCCCCATAAACTATGTGCTGCTGCTGATTGGGATGATGATTGCACGGGCGGAGCAGGTGGATCTCTTACTGTGTGGAGGAGGCACTATAAGGACTGCAGTTCTTAAGGCAGAAGAAGGCATCCTGAAGACTGCCCGCACGCTCCAGGCTCAGGTCCAGGTCAGACACCCACCCCCACCATACAAAAAGGCAGGAAGGACCCGGTCCTGGACATAGCCTGATAAATCAGGAAAGGCTTGGATATAGACAGTTCTGAAGATCTCCCAAGCAAAAAATGGTGTTTGTTGCTTACTGACCATCTCCCGTGCCAGCAAGGAACATGAGACTCTTTCCTTCAGGATTTGGGTGAAGAGCGTGGATTGTCCATGAACACTTTTGGGAAGTACCTGCTGTCTCTGGCTGCCCAAAGAGTTCCTGTGAGTACTTCCCAGTCCCTGAGAAACCCTTGCCCCCTTCTCACTTTGCCCTCCACAACTGATGGCTCTGATTTCTCAGAGGTTGTCTTTCAAACTACGTACCGTACCCACATCCACTCCCAGCTGGCTGTAGCACCCTACCCAGTGGTACGCTGGTAAATGCTTCACAACCAGCTCTCTGGAAAAGATAAGTCTTGGTTAATAGCATTTGCTAATTTCTATGGTGTTAAATACTCCTATCATAGCTGAGTTCATCAGTGAACAGAGTTGGGAAGTGATGCTCAGTAGCACACCATTACATGGTATTTCTACGACATAGATACAACAGATGTAAATAAGACCAAGAGTAGATAATGGTAAAATGTAGTAAAATAATTAGGAAGTGATGAGTTTTGAGTATTTGTTGCCTTTACTTTTTATACAATTTAATGTTTAATAGTGGCCATGTTTAACAACTGGCTCACAAAATTCCTAAAAAATTACTTTAATATTTTTTAAAAAGATTTTACTTATTCATTATTCATTTGAGAGAGAGAGAGCACAAGCAGAGGGGAGAGGTAGAGGGAGAGGGAGAAAGAGAAGCAGACTCCCCGCTGAGCAGGGAGCCCGATGCGGGGCTCCACCCCAGACCTGGAGATCACGACCTGAGCCGAAGGCAGACGCTTGACCATCTGAGCCACACAAGCGCCCCCGCTAAAAATTTATCAATCAGCTTCTGTGAGCCTGAATGAGCCAGTTACAACACACCACCTCCCTTCCCCCACTTTCTTGCCCCTTCGTATCAGGGTGTAGTGGTTTCCTCAATCCTAAATGCTCTCTGAAGAGGCAATTTCCATTCCCCTCAGAGCTGTCCTAATCCCCTAATCCCCAGGGAGCTCTTCTTTTGATATCCTGAGTTTATTAGCGTTTCTTCTGTCCCTCTGCTCCTTCCTTTTCATCTTACAGGTGGACAGGGTCATCCTCTTTGGCAACACTATGTATAACAGACTGGTAGATGAGGCCAAACAGCTTTTCTGGCAGCATGTGAATTCCAAGTGCCTCTTTGTTGCTGTCCCCCTGGAAAGGACATATAACACGTAAGGATGCTCAGACTCCTTGTCCAGTGCCAGAAGATAGGTTTCCAGACTTCCTCTCTACCTCTACTGTAGTTGGGACACTCCCACTCACCAGGCACATCCCTGTCTCTGCCTCTTAAGTACTAGAGCCTTCTCTGAAGTCTTCAGCCTAGCTCCATGCCCCTTTGTGAGGCTCCACCCCAGCCCTAGCCTAGCACGTACCCCTATTAAAAGTGCAGAAGTGGGGTATCCATCCTAGAGAGCAGTGACCCTGTGTTCCTGGCATGGTTTCTGATGGGTAGTGGCTGCTTCTTCCTTTGCCAGATTACCAGATTCGAATCCCAATAACGTGACACTCTCAGGCTACACTGACGGGATCCTGAAGTGAGTACAGAATGGACACTGAAGGGGTTGGGGGTTTTGTTAGAACATCTTTCAGAGATTATCTGGCTTCTACTCCCTTTACTTCTCTTTTTAAGCAAGATAGAAGCTTATTCCTCTTTTGCAGCTGTCCTGGTATAGCAGCAACAGTGCTAGAAGGGCCCAGCACCTTCTATCTTATTGCTCCATCATCCTCAAATACTCTGCTTTTACCTCATGGCTCAAGACAGCTGCTCCAGCTCCAGCCCTCATTTTTATATGACATCTAGTATGAAGAAGGAAAAGGGACAGGGGAGGTTCACTGTTTGCTTTTAAGGGAACAACTCAAGAGTTGGTCACATAATTTCTATTCATTGTTTGTGGCCTCTGTTCCATTCTTAATCCAGAGGAAGTCTCATGCTAAATTTATTTATAGACACCAAATTTACAGAAATATTTTTGCTTTGTCTTTCTCTCCATGTTCTCTCATTTACTTGTTTTCTCTCCTACCTTTTCCTTTGCATGCCTCCACTGCCCCCAGCTGCTATTAGGAAGACTCGTGCCCATTCCTCCTTGTCCAAGGAACTTTTATGGCTGATACAGAGCTGATGGCCTTAATCTTTAACCTTTAATCTTAACCTTTGCCAGCCTAATTGCCCCTGGCCCAAAGAAAGCCCGTGATAAGTGTGCATAGCAGGAGGGACTAGAGCTGGGTTTCTTCTCTCTTCCTTCACCCCTTGGTTCTGCATTCTGGTTTATTTTAAGTCTACATTCCCTGCTTATGGTTGTCTCCTTAAGGAGCTCCACTTAACTGGGTGACCTTCCCTAGCTGTATCTTTGTCCCCTGCCCCCTTGGAAGATCTGATTCTGCCACTGGTATTCACTCTTATTTATTTGGTCACATTTATGTCAGGTTCATTGCTGAGCGTGGGGCCTCCCGTCTTCTAGAACATGTGGGCCAAATGGACAAAATGTTCAAGATTCCACCACCCCCAGGAAAGACAGGGGACCTGTCTCTCCGGCCACTGGAAGAAAATGCTCTAAGCCCCTTGGCTCCGGTTTCCCAGCCTGGGTTAGTCTATGTTTCTTTGCCTTTGTGAACTGGGAGAGGCTATGGGCAGGTGGCTGCATTTCTGGCTGTTGAGATGCTGCTTGAGGTATGCTTCCTGTTTCCCAGGTAGGGATTTTTCTGACAGAGGAAATTGTCACATTGTGAGCATGCTCCTCTCTCTACTGGGGAAGGGGGTCAGACTGTGAGGCGGGCTCAAGGAGAGGGCTCAGGAGAATAGGTTCCAGCTTTCTCATCACAGCTTTGCCAAATAGTAGCTTGAATCTTGGGCTAGTTGTTTTTCATTTCTTAAAGCTTTAGTTTTTCGATTAGTAAAATAGAGGTAATGATTGTGCTTTCCTCACCGTGTTGTCACGAGCACACCATGGGCAAATAGTAAGTGTCTAATAATCAGCTGACCAAGGAGGGTGCATGAGAAATGGCAAGTAGGGTGTAAGCTCCAGGGCTCTGCAGTTGAGGCTCTGAGGCCCACTGGACACCCCCTGCTGTCTGTCATACCTTACTTGTGCTGTCTTGTGCTGAAGGGTGATCACAGCCGCATCTGTGGAATTGGGTTGTGAGGCCCATCCCTAGACTGAGCCTAGGCCTCTGCTTACCCCCAGATGGCACAGCATCCGGCTTTTCATTTCCTCCACTTTCCGGGACATGCACGGGGAGCGGGACCTGCTGCTGAGATCCGTGCTGCCAGCACTGCAGGCCCGAGCGGCCCCCCACCACATCAGCCTTCATGCCATCGACCTGCGCTGGGGCGTCACTGAGGAGGAGACCCGTAGGAACAGGTGAGGGGGCCACAGAGAAGAGGAGCCAGGTCAGGGACGAGCGGCTTGAGTGGTAGAACTGACATGGGTAGGGTGGAGGCTGCAAGGAAGGCTGAGGGCCTAGGGCAGGGGAAGCTCTTTGGATGCTAACAAGAGCAGCCTGTCTCCGCTTTGCTCAGTTGTGAGCCATGGCCCTGTCTTCCTATTTGTACCTGTATCCCCTGATCTGATGCCTCCATAACCATGTCTGCAGACAACTGGAAGTGTGCCTGGGGGAGGTGGAGAATGCACAGCTGTTTGTGGGGATTCTGGGCTCCCGCTATGGCTACGTTCCCCCCAACTACAACCTCCCTGACCATCCTCACTTCTGCTGGGTAAGGCAGACAGCAAGGTTGGAGCAGGGTCTGGGGAGGAAACAAAGGTTGGGGCAGGGGTGGAGAGAAGCCCCAGTGTGTCAGGAACCTTGGGACTATGGACAGGCAGCTCCTTGACACTTGAAGTGAATCCCAGGCAGAAGACTGTGCAAGTGGCCAAGTCCCAGATGAGGGGATTCCTTTGAGAAGTATCTTTCAGTTGGCCAAGGGAAGCGAGAGGTAAGAGGGTAGGTCTGTTTAGGTTTTGCTATCAGACGTATCTGAGTTCTGATCTCCCTTCTGTCAGTTACAGATTGTGTGACTTTGTGGGACATGGCTTATCCTAACCCAGCCTTAACTTCCCCATGTATTAAAGCGGAATGGTGGTGTCTATACTGCAGGGTTACTGTGAGAATTGGAAACCTGTTTTTAAAAATGCTCAATGCATGACAGGCATTCAATAAATGTTAGCTCTTAGCTGGGTTTTATTGGCTTGTGTCTGGGGGGAGCATTACTGAGATGCAGGAGGCCTGGGGCCTTTGCACATCTTGAGGGAGGGGTTAGTGTGACCCGGACCGAACCTATCTGTCCTCTGCCTTCTCCCCGCAGGCCCAGCGGTACCCTCCAGGCCGCTCTGTGACGGAGATGGAGGTGATGCAGTTCCTGGACCGGGGCCTGCGCCTGCAGCCCTCTGCCCAAGCTCTCATCTACTTCCGGGATTCCAGCTTCCTCAGGTACCTGTTGTCGCCTCTGGGCCTCGCGGTGGCCATATCTTCTCTCCCCGGCATTCAGAGTGTAGGAGGGAGGAGGCTGGAAGAGAGCACGGGGCTCAGAGAGCTGCCTCGTGGCACCAAATCAGCCTTGCCACTGAAGCCAGGAGATCTCCACTGGTGGAGTTTCAGGGAACCACAGCTAGGTCTGATGGTTGGGGGTGAAGAGAGGCTGGGGTCTGAGCGTAGCTCCATTCTTGGGTTATCTTTGGGGGTCAGCTCTGTGCCGGATGCATGGAAATCTGACTTTACTTCTGAGTCTGAAGAGGCTGCACATCGGATCTCAGAACTGAAGAGCTTCCTGAGCAGACAGCAAGGGATTACCTGTCGCAGGTGAGCTGGGGGAGGTAGAGAGCCCCTACAGGGAGAGATGTGGGGAGGGGAGCCAGGCGCAGTCTGACTCTGCTTGTGCTCACTTTGCCCACAGATACCCCTGTGAGTGGGGGGGTGTGGCAGCTGGCCGGCCCTATGCTGGGGGTCTGGAGGAGTTTGGGCAGTTGGTTCTGCAGGATGTGTGGAATATGATCCAGAAGCTTTACCTACAGGTCAGCAGGAGCACCCATGGCCAGAGGAGTGGAGAGGGTATAGGGTGGTCTGGGTAGTCCTGGGTGGGAAGTAACTCAGTGGGGGCTCTGAGTTTTCAGACCTGGGGGTCCTAAGGGCATGGAAACATTGTCAGTTACTGTCCCATTTGCCCTCAGCCTGGGGCCCAGCTGGAACAGCCAGCGTCCATCCCAGATGATGACTTGGTCCAGGCCACCTTCCAGCAGCTGCAGAACCCACCGAGTCCTGCCCGACCGCACCTTCTTCGGGACATGGTGAAGCAGCTAATGCTGCACCGAGAGAGGCTGAGCCTGGTGACTGGGCAGTCAGGACAGGGCAAGACGGCCTTCCTGGTACATAGTCTCAGAGCCCTGGGCAGGAGGAAGGACACGTTGTGTGGGCGAAGGAAGTGGGCCACATGGGGTTGTGCATGGAAAATGTGACTGTGTTTTCTCTTTGCTTTCCATGCAGGCATCACTTGTGTCAGCCCTGCAGGCTCCCGATGGGGCCAAGGTGGCCCCCTTAGTCTTCTTCCACTTTTCAGGGGCCCGCCCAGACCAGGGTCTTGCCCTCACTCTGCTCAGACGCCTCTGTGCCTATCTGCATAGCCAACTGCAAAAGCCGAGCGCCCTCCCCACCACCTACCGGTGCGTATCCTCCATTAGCCCAGCCTTGTTGATGCCACGTGACACCACCCATGTGTCTCCCTCTCCTCCTGACCCCGGTCCTTACCCTGCACACACAGGGGCCTGGTATGGGAGCTCCAGCAGAGGCTGCTGCCTGAGTATGCTCAGTCCCTGAAAAGTGGCCAAACTTTGGTGCTGATCATTGATGGGGCTGACAGGTTGGTGGGTCAGCATGGGCAGCCAGTCTCAGACTGGATCCCGAAGAGCCTTCCCCCGGTGAGTTCTGAGAAGGAGGTGGGGGTGGGATGCAGTAGTGGGGAAGGGGGCGTCTCCCACATTGTCCTTCTCTTTTTCCTTCTACCTCCTTCTCCTTTTGCCCAAATATCACAGCGGGTGCATATGGTACTGAGCATGTCTACTGATGCGGGCCTGGGGGAGACCCTTGAGCAGAGCCAAGGTGCCCATGTGGTGGCCCTGGGGCCTCTGGAGCCATCTGCCCGGGCCCGGCTGGTGAGAGAAGAGCTGGCTCTGTATGGGAAGCGCCTGGAGGAGTCACCTTTTAACAACCAGGTTGGATGTAGGCCAGGGCCGGTGGGTGTGAGGACCCCGTGCAGCCCTGCTTCTTCATTTCTGAAGGAGCTCTGTGCCAGGGGGAAGCTGTTGATAAGATACCTGGGAATCCTTATAATACCAGCCAGCCTTTTCCCCCTGGCGAATGGCCTCCCAGGGCCTGTCCCCGTGAGGGGAGGCGTAAGGCTGTGGTCACTGGGTGGGGTAGGCTGAACCATGGGAGCTTTCCAGAAAGGGGGGCTGGTTGGCAGAGCAGCGGAGGGAAGGGGTGGCTGTGTTCTGTGGTGAGGCCATCAGGTGATGCCTGCTGGGGACTCTCAGAGGAGGCACTACCTTGCAGTGGGCTTGGCGCTCAGGGTGGAGCTCAGGGGGCTGAGGGCTGGCCGTGGCAGGCTCTCTGCTCCCCGCGCTGAGTCCCCTTTGTCTTGTCAGATGCGGCTGCTGCTGGTGAAGCGGGGGTCCTCCCTGCCGCTCTACCTGCGCTTGGCCACCGATCACCTGAGGCTCTTCACGCTCTATGAGCAGGTTGGCTGGGGACGTAAACCCTCACCCCTCATTTTCTCAGTCCTAATCCACTTCCCATTCTTCATTCAGCTTCTTTCACCCCCATCCCTCTACTTTTCCTACCCTCATCCTGTGCCACCTTGTGATCACCATTCCCCATGCTCAGCTCGCCCCTACCCCCTCCTCCCCGACCCTTTCTCTTCTTTTTTTCATCCTTTCCCATGGTTCCTCCTGTTTCCCACTCCCCTCCCCACAATGAAAGCCACCTCTTCTCCCCCCCGCCCACTGACTGAAGCCCAGTCTCCCTCCTCTCCCAGGTGTCTGAGACACTCCGGACCCTGCCTGCCACTGTCCCCCGGCTGCTGCAGCACATCCTGGGCACCCTGGAGCAAGAGCATGGCCCCGATGTCCTTCCCCAAGCCTTGGCCACCCTCGAAGCCACACGTAGTGGTCAGTGGTTGGGGTGGGATGGGAGACTGAGAGCGCAGGGGTTCGATGACATTGGCTCATTTGGGGTCTCAGTGAGTGGCGTGAGGAGGACCAGGTGTCATGGGAGGGGTATGCTGCGTGGTTTGGTGAGAGCCTCAGAGAGCTGGGGTTTTCAGGTCTGACTGTGGACCAGCTGCATGGTGTGCTGAGTGCATGGCGGATACTTCCCAGGGGGTCCAAGAGCTGGGAAGAAGCAGTGGCAGCTGGTAACAGTGGGGACCCCTACCCCATGGGCCCATTTGCCTACCTCGTCCAGAGTCTGCGCAGGTACAGGTGTCCCCAGTTGAGCTCCCACCGACCTCCTGTGCCTTCCCATCTTTGAGCCAGGGCCCCATGTGATCCTTTCTTCATCCCATCCTTCCCTGGGTGTAGCCCCCGGGACCCAAACGGGCTGCCACTCAGTTTACCACTCTGTGGGTGGGCGTGGGAGCCCACAGCTAGGCCCGGTGCTCACTGACAGGCCTCCTGCCCTCCTGCCTGCCCTCTCTCCCTCACATGAGGACAGTCTGCTAGGGGAGGGCCCCGTGGAGCGTGCTGGTGCCCGGCTCTGCCTCCCTGCCGGGCCCCTGAGGACAGCAGCTAAATGCCGATATGGGAAGAGGCCGGGGCTGGAGAAGACAGCACACATCCTTGTTGCAGGTGACTGTAGCCCGAACTGGCCTGAACCGGCCCCCGGGGCACTGAGAGTGGGGCCTACACCTGGAGGCCAGGGCCACCCACTGGTGCTCCCATTTGGCTGGCCCTCTTACCTGCCACCCCAGTGTGTGGATGGCTTTTGCTGTGACCTGTGGCATGCGATCTTTGGAGATGCTTTAGGGCTGAGCCCATCTCAATGTCTGTTCTGTGACCCACACCTGCAGCTCAACTCTGGAAGACTTGTGACCCTGATGCCTCAGGCACCTTCCGAAGTTGCCTACCTGAGGCTCTGGGAGATCTGCCTTACCACCTGGTTAGTCTCAAGATCCCATAGGCACCTTCTCCCAAGCAACTGCGTTGACTATTCTGAGACCCCAATCCCCCTTGACCACCACCACCGTCACCACTGCCATGACCCCTCTCTACTTTTCTCCGTCCAGTTTTCCTGCCCTCTTCTTCCAGGTCCTTTGTCCCAGCTCCTAGGTCGAGGTCCTGGCTGCACAGGCAGGGCCTAGAACTAGACTCTTCCTTCTCACCTGCCTCTTCACATCCTAATGAGTCCAATCTGACCTTCCCAGCTCCAGAGCGGGAACTATGGCCTTCTTGCAAAATTCCTTACCAATCTCCATGTGGTGGCCGCACACCTGGAACTGGGTCTGCTCTCTCGGCTCCTGGAGGCCCATGCCCTCTATGGTGAGATAAGTCAGTGGCTTCTCTGAGATATTGGCCTCCTGGGTGTGTTCACGGGGGGTGTGCTGGGGGTGGGGCAGGAGGTATAACGCAAAGAACAGTTAAATTTCTGTTCCAGGCTGAAAATGCCAAGAGGGTAAGCAGGTGATTTTCAGGGGGACCTTCTGCCCAGATCTCTTAGACCAAAGGCTCTCACAGGCATAAAATTACCTGGAAACGTTGTTCAAATTGCAGATCTCTGGGTCCCCAGATTCTGGTTCCCTAGGTCCAGAGTGGGGCCTAAAGCTTTGTACTTTTAACAGGTGTTTCTGAAGTAGGGCCAGAAGGCCTCAAGACTTAACATTTTAGACACATCATATGACTGTATTTGGTCCTGGGGTTAATGGGGGTCCAGGCTGGCTCCCCAGTGATGCTCTGCATCTTTTCCACAGCTTCCTCAGTCCCTGCAGACAAACAAAGTCTTCCTGAGGCTGACACTGCTGTGTTTCACGTGTTCCTGAGGCAGCAGGCTCCAGTCCTCAGCCAGTACCCCCTGCTCCTGCCCCAGCAGGCAGCCAACCAGCCCCTGGACTCGCCTGTTTGCCTCCAGGCCCCACAGCTTTCCCGGCGATGGCGCCTCCAGCTCACGCTACGATGGCTGAATAAACCCCACACCGTGGAGGGCCAGCAGAGGTAAGGCCCATGGCCCCGGATGCTGGTAAGCCCGCCAGAGAGCAAGCTACAGCCCTTTCTGAAACTGGAGAAGAAAAGACAGACCAGAGTCCGCATCAAGAGAGGGGGACTCAGGCACAGGAATGCAAATGTGAATTTCCGTTCCCTTCCTTCCCTTCCTTCCTCATTTCCTTCCTTTCTTCCTACTCTTTCTCTAGCTCCAGCCTGTCTCTGGCAGTTTCCTCATCCCCCACAGCGGTGGCCCTCTCCCCCAGTGGGCAAAGAGCTGCTGTGGGCACTGCCAATGGGATGGTTTACCTGTTGGACCTGAGAACCTGGCAGGTAGGACACTCGAGGTGGGCAGAGTTTGCCTCCAGAAAAAGCCTCACAGACTGCCCTGAAGACCTTAGCAAGCCAGCCCCACCTGTTATCACCCTGTTTGATTCAGCAACTTGTATTTCCCTCACATCAGATCAAAGGCTTGGTATTAAGTCAGTCACACCTTCCACATTATTTGCTGCACACCTTCCATTCAAGGCTGTACTAAGGCTGTATTGTATTCAGCGTTGCAAGGAACACAGGGCTAGGACTTCGTCTTTGCCCACCAAGTGGTCAGCTTTGTTGAAAGATATGACATGCAAGGTGAAAAGGAACCGAAACACAGCCATGTGACGGAGACAAGAGCTGAGTGCACTGGGTACTTCCAGGAGAACATGGGATAGGCAGGGGCACGCATTCCAGTTGAGTGAACGGCAGAGGGGAGAATGTGTCCAGGAAATTGCTGGGAATGATTGCAGCAGAGGGTGCTTCAGGGAAGGTAACAGCAGATTAGGCTGGAGAGGTGGGTCCCACAGCCACAGCCACTCCCTCTCTCTGCCTCCCACCCATATCACCCCCTACCGCCATGTATATATGCATGCATACATACAGCCCCATCAGAATCTTCTGTGACTTGACGATGCATATGGGGTTGGGCGTAGGGGAGAAGATGTGGCCCCACTTGAACCAAGGCTTGGTCTACATCTGGAGTGGGGTGCAAAGCTTTTCACTTTTAATAAGTGCTCCTGATGTGGGACCAGAGGGCCACCCTTTCTCCAGCCCGTCTTGCCTTGGCCTCCTTTTTGGTTGGAGCTTGAAGTAGCTGGACACTGGGGGTCAGGGGAATGTCCTGAGCATGCTTCCCTGCTCGTTCTCATAGGAGGAGAAGTCTTTGGTGAGCGGCTGCGATGGGGTCTCCTCTTGCTCATTCCTCTCGGACAGGGCCCTCTTTCTTACTGCCTTTGACGGGCTTCTGGAGCTCTGGGACCTGCAGCAAGGTTGTCGGTAAGGGGCCCCTCCCCCATGTCTTGGAGTGAGGGCCTTCCCTGCTTGTCGGGAGTCCCCCGGGGCAGGGGAAAGAGGTGGGAGGTCAGGGGGTCCCAGAAGCCTAACTTTGTCTCCCTGGGATAGGGTGCTCCAGACCAGTGCTCACCAGTACCAAATCACTGGCTGCTGCCTAAGCCCAGATGGTCGGCTGCTGGCCACCGTGTGCCTAGGGGGATGCCTAAAGGTAATGACCAAGGGGCAGTGGTAGTCAAAGTGGCCCTAAATGCCAAGTCAGCCCCGTGAAGTTGTTCTCTTCGTGTGGCAGAGCTGCTGACTGCTTGGCCTGGGGAAGGTCTTTCCTGCTGAAGGCAGGGAACTGGACAAGGTGGCCTCCGGGACTGAGAAGTCAGGCATCTGTCCTGGGCACCTAGCTTTCTCTCCTTCTCTCTCCTGCAGCTATGGGACACAGTCCGTGGGCAGCTGGCCTTCCAGCACACGTGTCCCCGGCCCCTGAACTGCGTTGCTTTCCACCCAGAGGGGCAGGTCATAGCTGTAGGCAGCTGGGCTGGCAGCTTCAGCTTCTTCCATGTGGATGGGCTTAAAGCTACCAAGGTGAGAAGGTCCTGTGTCGCCCTGGGGGAGGAAGCCCAAGAGGGTGGGAGTGGAAGATATGGGATGACGGACGTCCACGTTGTTTCACTTTGGGTTTGTGTTGAGAGTAGGTCCTCACGCTCCATTTCTACTTCCTCGTGTAGGAACTGGGAGCCCCAGGGGCCTCTGTCCGTACCTTGGCGTTCAGTGTGCCTGGGCGGGTTGTGGCTGTGGGTCGGCTGGACAGCATGGTGGAGCTGTGGTCCTGGCTTGAGGGGGCACGGCTAGCTGCCTTCCCTGCCCACCATGGCAGTGTGGCTGCTGCCGGGTTCCTGCGCGCTGGGCGCCAGTTCCTGACGGCCGGACAGGATGGCAAGGTCCGGTGGCAGAGTGCTGGTGGTGGGTTAGGAGGAGGGGGGAGGAAAGGCCTATTTGGGTGAGGGTGGAGCCTTTGTGGGGGAGACTGTGGAGGAGCTTCGCTGGTGCAAGCTGCAGGGAGAGGGGTGCAGTGTATGCATGGGCCGCCCTCAGGAGAGGAGGGGCGAGGACTTTAGGGGGGAGGAGGACTTTAATGGGGGTGGCTATCACTCTGGGGGTGGAAGTGGTATGTCTTTAAGTCCTGTTCTTGGCCCTCAGGTTCAGGTGTGGTCTGGATCTCTAGGTCGGCCCCGGGGGTGCCTAGGTTCCTTTTCTCTCTCTCCTGCCCTCTCTGTGGCTCTCAGCCCAGATGGTGATCGGGTGGCCATTGGGTACCGAGCAGATGGCATCAGGATCTACAAAATCACTTCAGGTACTGGAGAGGGGTTGGGGTGTTCAAGCCTTTGGAAAGAGCCTCCCCACCCTGAACTCCCTTTCCACGTGTCTCACTCTTTGGTTTTTCCACATGCTCTAGGTCCCCAGGGGGCTCAGCGTCAAGCACTAGATGTAGCAGTGTCTGCACTGGTCTGGCTAAGCCCTAAGGTGTTGGTGAGCGGTGCAGAAGACGGGTCCCTGCGAGGCTGGGCTCTCCAGGAAAGTTCCCTTCAGTCCCTCTGGCTCTTGTCCAGATACCAGAAGCCCGTGTTGGGACTGGCCACCTCCAAAGAACTCTTGGCTTCTGCCTCAGGTACTGCTGGGCAGTGGGCAGCTTCCTTTTAAATATGCTCATACCTTTCCTCCATTTATATGTGTATGTGTACAGGAAACACACGTAATTATTTTTACAACTTTCAAAGTGCTTTTAAATGCATTTCTCTTGCATCATCAGTCTGGACTGTTTCTTCTTGTTTCCAAACCCTGATTCGGGGACCTCTTTGTAATCCTTGTAATCCTCTGAGTTTCTGCCTAGGGGGGAGACTTTGCTGTGTATAGGGCTGGGTTTCCCTTACGAGGAGGAGAGAGATGTTGAGGTGAAAATGCAGAGTGGTCTTAGTCCTCTCTAGGTAGGAGACTTGGTCCAAGTGATAGTGGTCACTTGAGAAGAGGAGGGTCTGGAGGTGAAACAGGGAGTTAGACAGCTGAAGAGCCAGAGCTGGGAGTGCCTGGTGTCCCTGTCCTGTGATCTCATATGATGACTGACCCTTGTCACTCAGACTGTCCACAGCCTGTGGCTCACTGTCGTCGAATATCATGCTCACCCGTGATTGCCTTTGTCCTTGGGGTCCCGTCTCACTTCCTCTTTCGGGGGCTCTTCCTTTCTCCCTCTTTCCAATGCAGAAGATTTCACAGTGCGCCTCTGGCCAAGGCAGTTGCTGACACTGGCGCAGACAGCAGGAGACTTTCCCTGTGGCACTGAGCTCCGGGAACATGAGGCTCCCGTAAGCTGCTGTAGCTTCAGCACCGATGGACGCAGGCTGGCCACTGGGGGCAGGGACCGGGTGAGCCACGGGGGTCCTCCCACCTTGAGCCCACAGCCCCTCTGGGTCCTGGATTCCTCAACAGTCCATTTCCCATGGCTCCTGAGGCATGTTGCTTTGCCACACCTCCTAAGCTGCTTCCGTCCACCATCCCTTCCTTGATACTCCCTTTTCCCTTAAAATGTCTTGCCGGAAATGGCCCTGATGTTCCTACCTCCCTCCTGTGGTCCTGATTGCTCCGTCCCTTGGGACCTATCCAGAATCTCTTCTGCTGGGATGTGTGGATGCCCAAAGCCCCTGTTCTGATTTGCTCCTTCTCTGCCTGTCACCGTGACTGGGTCACTGGCTGTGCCTGGACCAAAGACAACCTACTGGTAAGGGAAGGGGTGGGGGTGGGCAGAGCTCAGCAGGGTTCCTGGGGGAGGACCACGCTGCCCATGTCATCCTGTTTCTGACAGCCATTTATAATAATAGTAATAGCTAACATATATTGAGCACTTAGTACATGCCAGGCATTGAAGTGAGCTCGTCATATGTCTTGCCTCATTTAGTCTTTACAACTCCCTGTAAGGCAGACGCTACTACTATCTCTATTTCACAGACAAGGATCTTGAGCCCAGATAGATTAAAGAACATTTCCAAGGTCATGTAAGTGATGAGGCTGAAGCACTAAACATAAGAAAGCCCACACTCTTAACAAGAATACAGAAGTGTCTCCCCAGTGGTTTAGGGCGCCCTCTGCAGTTAGAGGCTACTGCTGTGATTTCTTTGGTCCTAAGGCAAAAAAAAACCAAACCCCCAAATTATGCACTCAAGGTTGGTGAAGCCTAGTTTTCCAGTGCAGAGTCCCCACACTTCTTTTTTTAAAGATTTTATTTATTTATTTAACAGAGAGAGACACAGCGAGAGAGGGAACACAAGCAGGGGGAGTGGGAGAGGGAGAAGCAGGCTTCCCACTGAGCAGGGAGCCCGATGTGGGGCTCGATCCCAGGACCTTGGGATCATGACCTGAGCCGAAGGCAGATGCTTAACCATCTGAGCCACCCAGGCACCCAGTCCCCACATTCTTAAGAAGAGATGAGAAAGGAGTGAGAATCAGTTGACTAGAGTTGTCATAGTCTGCTCTCTACCCCTGCCTTCTCGGCAGCCGGATCTTTCCTTGGCATTGCAGACTGTTCACCTTTGTCTGGGTTTGTTGACTGACAGTATGTTAGTAACAAGGACAATAACCACTCTTTATGCAGTGCTCATATGTACCAGGCAGTCCTTTCTGTAGGTGCGCCAGCCCCACATCAAATAGCTACAGTTATTATCCTCATTGACTGGATGAGAATCCTTATAAGGCGCAGAGAGATGAACTTGCCGCAGGTCATAAAGTAAAGAATGGTGGAGCTAGGATTTGAACCTAGGACAGCCTATGTTCTTAATCACAAGCCTTAATGCGCCCCCCCACCCCCCCGCCCACATTATAAACCTACAGAAATGCTGGAGGCCTGCTGATAATCCCACTCCTATAACCTCTGACTGTGCAGGTCTCCTGTTCCAGTGATGGCTCTGTGGGGCTGTGGGACCCAGAACGGCAACAGCAGCTTGGCCAGTTTCTAGGTCATCAGAGTGCCGTGAGCGCCGTGGTGGCCGTGGTGAGGAGGCGGTGCAGAGCTCACTGGGGGCCCTCGAGGGCTGAGGAGGCTTTGGGACCCTGGGTGCATTGGGTATCTAATCTCAAAGGCAAAAGAAGTATAAAGAATGAGATGCCCGGGCCTGCATTAGAGCAGGATGAGGGTATTGAGACGGAGGGTTGGAGTGAGGGGAGGGAGAGGGCAGCTCGGTATCTGGACCTCATGCAGGATTGCAGTCCTGAGCCACCCAGCCTGTGTCCCCGGGTTCTCCGCACTCTTGGACATCTCCTAAGCCTTTAGTGCTCAGCCCTCACCTCAGTGGTAGGAGTCATACTCCCCACGTCTTGCTCAGTGTGACTTTGCTCTGATCCTGTGCTCTGGGGCAGGAAGAACACGTGGTGTCTGTGGGCCGAGATGGGACCTTGAAAGTGTGGGACCATCAGGGCGTGGAGCTGACGAGCATCCCTGCTCACTCGGGACCTATCAGCCACTGTGCAGCTGCCCTGGAGCCCCGGGCAGGTAGGGAAACGTCAGCTCCCTTTTCTTCCCTTCTCCCCCACCCCCCACCCCCCACTTCTCCCCTTCTTCTGACTTCGTCTCTGTGCCTTATCAGCTGGGCAGCCTGGGTCAGAGCTTCTGGTGGTGACTGTTGGACTGGATGGGGCCGCACGGTTGTGGCATCCACTCTTGGTGAGTTCCCTGAAAGGACTGGGGTGGACGGAGTGGAGAGGGCAGAGCGGGACAGCCTCCTGTGGCGTTGACCCCCCTGCTGTCCCACCTCCATCCTCTCCTCCTAGGTGTTTCAAACACACACCCTCCTGGGACACAGTGGCCCAATCAGTGCAGCTGCAGTTTCAGAGACCTCAGGCGTCCTGTTGACCGCCTCAGAGGATGGTTCCGTACGGCTCTGGCAGGTCCCTGGGGAAGCAGGTGAGTGAGGCATGGAGAGAGGCAGCGTATGAAAGAGGGCTGTGTTAGTGGGGCCATGAAGGTCAAGGGTGGCCTGGTATCTCCTCTCATGTCCCAGCGGTGGTCCGGCTTCTAATGCATCACTTCCTTCCTTCTCCAGATGACACATACACTCCCAGGAGTCCTGCAGCCATCACTGCTGTGGCGTGGGCCCCAGATGGTTCCATGGCAGCGTCTGGGAATCGAACTGGGGAACTAACCCTGTGGCACAAAGCTAAGGCTGTGGCCACAGCACAGGTGAGTTGGGGCAACCTCGGTGCTTGTCTGTGTGACTTCTGCCCCAGCTGTGCATGGACTGGTATGTGCATAGATGGCTGGGAGGGGAAAGAGGGTTAAGCCTGGCTCCTCAGGAGGACTGAGACGGACTTGTTATGCTCACAAGGCTCCGGGCCACATCAGTGCTCTGGTGTGGTACTCGGCACACACCTTGATTGTTCTCAGCGCTGATGAAAAGGTCAGCGAGTGGCAAGTGGAACTGCAGGAGGGTTCGACACCCGGAAATTTCAGGTGAGATGGGGCAGCTGGGTTAATGTGATACGTCGATGGTCTCCTTATACCCGGGATTTTGTGCAAATCACCCCACTTCTACTTCTGAACTAGGTCAATAGGATGTTAGTTAAGTGGGAAAAAGTCCTTGGGAAATTGTTTTTGGCTCCCCATCATGTCAATTTAAATAACCACCAGCAATCAGCAGAGTGGTTAGTGCTGTAATGAAGAGAGGGGTCTATATAACTCTCAGAATTTGAGAAATTTATAAAAAGAGTTGCTATTTGAGGTTGGGCTTTAAGGATGAGTAGGACTTTTCTGGACCCACAAGGGAAGGGAATGGTGTTTCAGGAAGAGGAGGTGGTATTAACCAAAGGCAAGGAGGCATGAGAATGCATGGTATATTCTGGGCACAGCTGAGTAGTTGGGTTCTTGGTGAGAGTGGGGGCAGGGGGGTGGGGGAATTGGATTGAAAAGATAAACTGGGGGTAGGCTGCAGAGGGCATAGTGTTAAGGATTTTGAGAATAATTATCTGCAGTTTAGGAAGAGGACTCCAGTGGCAGTATGGAAAATGGACAGTAGTAGAGAGATTTTAGAGGCAGGGAGACCACCTTCATAGCGTTGCTCTAGTCCAGGGAAGACATAGTGTGGGCCCCGAGCCAGGTAGGGAGATGAGAAGGAGGGATAGAGATTTAGGCATGTGTTGGCAAGTAGAATCCACAGTGCTTATTGATCAGTTGGAGGTCAGGAGGGAAGGAAAAGACAAGAAGGTTAGAGATTCCTCTTTTGAGCAGGTAAGGGGATGGTGATAATGAATACTGATACAAGAAAAACAGAAAGAGGAAGGGAATTTGTAGGGAAGGTCATTGATTGTGTTCTGTACTTCGCTCCTGAGGAATTCATGCGGAGCCGAGGAGCCTGAGAGAGGCGGACTAAAATAGGATCTTTCTTTGTCCCTGTACCTTTTGTGAGTTGCAGTCTTCACCTGAACCGAGTTCTGCAGGAGGACTTAGGCTTCCTGACAGGAGTGGCCCTGGCTCCAGACGGTCACTCCCTCCTCTTGGCCGATGCGGGTTTGCAGTTACAGTGCATGAAGCCAGGGGATGCTCCTTCTGTAATCTGGTAGGATTCAAAAAGCTGTTTCCTCTCAGGCTACAGAAAAAGGCAAAGTGGGTTATGAACTTGGGTCTAACTTAGAACAAAACACTGGGGTCTTACAGAGAGATGTTCATACGTTCAGCCTCTTTCTTTCTTGTAAACCAGGAGCAGCCACTATTCAGAATGTGCTATGTTATTGTCCACCCATCAAGACTATGGTGTGTTTGTCCTGCAGCCAGCGGAACCTGGAGGCCTTTTTTTCTTAGTAAGTCCTATGTGAGTGTGTGTTAAAACATTTGTCCAGGGCCAATACTTTTAAAACCCTGGGGCCGTGATTGAGGATAAGAGGAAGGGAAGGGCACTGGTTCCAAATTCCTTTCTGTTCCGTCAACTGGAGCAGCTCTACTTAAGAGCATTCTATAGCGGGTTTCAGCTTCCCTATAAGATTTTATTGATACAAAAAAGGATTCCAGTGTTTAAAAAAAATCATGGGAAACCATCAACATAGGAGTTTTCTTAATTGCATTTTTTCTCATGTCTCTCTTGTCTTGCCACTGCGAGTACCAGTGTCTGGAACAATACAGACACATCTCGTAGGTGTTACGTTGGGTGAAAGAAGCCAGACACAAAAGAGTACATACTACATGATTTCATTCAACTAAAGTTAAAGAACAAGCAGTTAAACCAGGCTTTAGAAATCATTTATGGTGACAGAACTCAGAGTATTGTTAGCCCTGGGGGTGGGGGTGCTCTGGTATTGACCGGGAAGGGTCATGAAGGCACGTTTCTAGGGTGATGGAAATGTTCTACATGTTGACCTGGGCAGTGATTGCATGGATGTATACATATGGAAAAGTTCCTTGAGATGTACATTTAAGATGCGTGCACTTAGGGACGCCTGGCTGGCTCAGTGGGTTAAGCGTCTGCCTTTGGCTCTGGTCATGATCCCAGGGTCCCAGGATCGAGTCCTGGGCTCCTTGCTCGGCAGGGAGCCTGTTTCTCCCTCTGCCTGCCACTCCCCCCTCTTGTGTGCTTTCTCAATCTCTCTCTCTCTGACAATAAATAAATAAAATCTTAAAAAAAAAAAGATTCATACTCTTTACTGTGTCTAAATTACAGTTAAGAAATTGAGCAGCTGAGAGCCAAAAGCTGTTGCTTTGGCTGGGTAGGGTCAGGTGCTATGAGGAGGCTAAACAGAATGGGCCACTCTTTCGTAGAGGCAGAAGGAGTCAGGGGACTTTGAAGAGAACCTTGAGTTTCAGCTGGACTTGGAGAATCCTACTGGGACCTTCGTGTTGGTAACCCAGGCCAAACCGGAATCTGGTGAGTGGGATAGGAGGACCCACAGAGTCTGGAGATGCCTTGTAGGGAATGGTGGGTCCTTTGAAGCCGGAAACCCAGCTCTGAGCTCTGTGCTTGAAATGGCAGAGTCCTCGTTTTTGTGTGCCAGCTCTGATGGGATGCTATGGAAACTCGCCAAGTGTACCCCTGAAGGAGAATGGGAGACAGGCAACCTCTGGCAGAAAACAGAAATGCCTGAAACCCCAACTCCAGAGACAGCCTCATCTGTGAATGACGGAAGCACAGGTAGCTGGTCCCCACCCCCACGGCTGGCGACTCAGCAGCGCAGAAAGGTGAGTTGGAGGGATGGGTCACAAGCAGAGGGGAGGAGGCTCTCAGTCTGACAGGTGGATGCTTCCTTGACCGAGGAGGGCCCGCTGAAAGCTCACCGCATCCCTTCTCCTTCCCCTCCAAGATTCACTCGGGCTCTGTCACAGCCCTCCATGTGCTGCCTGGGTTGCTGGTGACAGCTTCACAGGACAGAGATGTTAAGCTGTGGGAGAGACCCAGTATGCAGCTGGTAAGTGTGTACGTGTGTAAGGAGGGCTAAAGGGATGCCACAGAGAGCAACCTTGGGCAAAGAATGTACAAAAGAGCAAAACTCTGTTTTCTCCTGTCCTTGCTGTCATGCGCAACTAAACTGTTTCTAGATAAAAGGCATCGCTGCGAGAGAAAAACAAGTTCGTAAGGACGCCCTAGGCTTAGAGCCCTCATCTCGCTGTCTCTCGTTCCCCATTGTAGCTGGGTCTGTTCCAATGCGAGGCAGCTGTCAGCTGCCTGGAACCTTGGCTGGGCCCCGACTCTGCGCTGCAGCTTGCAGTGGGAGACACACTGGGCAACGTGTACTTTCTGTCCTGGGAGTGAAGATGCACCACCCACTTGTGCTAGAGATGCAAAGCCAGAAGATACCAGTGGCTACTTTCTTGATTAAAATTTTTAAAATAAAGTGTCAGAAAATCTCCAGTGCAGTCCTGCCTGTGTTCTGACGTGGATGTGGATCAAGAAGAATACGACGTTCTCATGTTTCTTTTCTGATTTAACATCAGTCCTTACTGGAACCGCAAGAAGGAGAACCAGCTCTTTAATAGGTATTCTTTGAAACCAGGCTTTAGAAATCTTGTGTCATTTGCTGGCCCGAGGGTCCTGAGACGCCATTCCTGACAGGGGGAGGAATGAGTGATGCTGGCCAGCGCTTAGTTGGAACAGAGCGCTGAAGAAATCTCACTTGGTCAAGAAATAATAAAAGAAGGAAGCGTGAGTTGACAGTGCCCCCCAGGCAGGGCATTTAGAGAGAACATTAGGTTCCTCCCATAGAAACAGCCTCTTCTGTGCGGAACTGCCCAGATGAGCGGTGAGAAGCCCGGGCGCTGAGTAGAACCAGACTCCTGGCTTTCACAGCCTCTGACCGAACAGCACCAGCCACTCGACTTGCACACGTTTGTCAATATAGTAATTTGCACTCTTGGAAGAAACCACAAAGGTGTAGCTCTCAAATTGAAGTTCACAAAGATTAAAACGAATGGAGAGATGGAACAGTCCTACCCATGGACTCACCATGGACTGTGATCCTTTTAAGTTCTAGAACCTTATTTTCCTGTAATTCTATCTTATGGGAGAGGAAGTTGCCTGAGGCTCTTTCTAAGGGTTAGGGAAAGGTTAAAGGTCTTCTATGTCCAAGAATTTAAGGACTTGTGTATGATAAGCCAGGTTTACAAGATTTTGTCCCAGGACGGTAGGGTTCTCTCAGAGAAATATCACTGCACTCTGATCTAGAAATGAGTTTTGAGGAATTGGGGAGTTGAGGGGTACTGAGTTTTGTTCTCACTTTGCCCTGATTCCAGGTTTTCATGGACAAATCACCTGAGGGACTTTTTCCTTATTTCTATCAGTGCCCCACGGTCTCCCTCAGCCAGAGAATAAATATATAAGAAATGCCATCAGCTGATGTCTTAATCATAGGTCATGCTTCTATATTTTCTCATGTGTCTCATGCAAGGGCTCTAAAAATACCTTCTAGACCACTTCCTCCACATACCTTGTGACCAGAATCCAAATTAAGGTTATTTGAAATTTATGATTTATAATACTACCCAGAAATGCTACAGAGAACCATGGCATGGCATCATCCTAAAAGTTGCTGCTTTCAATCTTTTTGCCTTTTGCTTCCCTGAGAGCATGGGCCAAGGACAGGAGGAAGCCCTAGATGTCTGTCTTCTATGCTCTAAAAATTCTACAAAAGCACCCCATCTAAGGCTGGAGGAATGGGGATGGAGAACGTTAAGAAAAGGCTAACTTGACCTTTGCTCAATAGACTCAGCCTTGTTGGCCAGGCCCTCTTGAAGGTTTTTTTCTGTCTTTCTTATCTTGTAGGTGTACAGCAAGGTCATAGTATAATTGCTGTGAGTGACAGTAAGAAGAGACTCTAGGTAAAAGTAAATATGTGTCCAAGGGAGTTGAAGGGAAAATTAATTTAGGTTGTAGTTTAAACATCTTCTGAGATCATTGTTTTTGTTTTTTTAAGATTTTATTTATTTGACAGAGAGAGCCAGAGAGCACAAGCAGGGGGGTGGGGGGGGGAAGAGGGGGATGGCAGAGGGAGAGGGAGAAGCATGCTCCCCGCTGAGCAGGGAGCCCCATGTGGGGCTCCATCCAGGACCCTGGGATCATGACCTGAGCCGAAGGCAGACGCTCAACCAACTGAGCCACCCAGGCGCCCCAATTTTGATCACTTTTAAGGGCAAGGTGGTTTTGCTTTGTTTTTTTTTTTAAAGATTTTATTTATTTATTTGAGAGAGAGAATGAGAAAGAGAGCACATGAGAGGGGGGAGGGTCTGAGGGAGAAGCAGACTCCCTGCCGAGCAGGGAGCCCGATGCGGGACTCGATCCTGGGACTCCAGGATCATGACCTGAGCTGAAGGCAGTCGCTTAACCAACTGAGCCACCCAGGCGCCCTTTTGTTTTTGTTTTTTACTGTTATTTTTCCATAATCTGTTAGAAACAAGTCACTAAGCCCAGCCCCCACTGAAGAGGAGGGAGACTAAACCTCGTAGAGGGAGAGTTAGCAAAGAACTTATGCTCCTGTGTTAAAATTACCACAGTAATCAGTAAATCTTGAGGTAGGTTTTTTGAGACTATGAAAGTTATCCTGTTCCACTAATTTCAGCATTCATCCATTGATCTTGACTATAGCAGTTATTCCCGAGCAGGCTCCATGCTCTGTGCAGAGTTGGATGCCGGGCTCAATGTCACAACCCTGAGATCATGACCTGAGCCGAAATTCAAGTCAGATGCTCAAATGACTGAGCCACCCAGGCGCCCCATTACTGTGGTTTTCTAAAGATTTTCTATTTCCCTCAAGCCTTCTACATTAATTGAAATCCTTCTGAAAGGATTATTTATCCCTTCTTCCCCAATTTCAAAGGAGTCATTCATCCATTTCAGTCTTTCTGTGGGTTTTGCATAGATGTCGTTTATCAGGTTGAAGAAGTTCCCTTCCATTCTTTGCTGAATGTTTATCATGAAAGGGTGCTGGATTTTGCCAAATGCCTTTTCTGCATCTAATAAGATAGTCACGTGACTTTTGTCCTACACTGATGGATTTTCATATGTTGAACCAACCTCACGTTCCTTTGCTAAATCTCACTTTGTCATGGTGTATAATTCTTTTTACGTTACTGGTTTAGGCTTGGTAGCATTTTATTGCACATATGTATTCTTAAGGGACATTGGTCTATAGTTTTCTTTCCTGGTGGTATCTTTATCTGGTTTTGGTTTCCTATTGCCTGATAGAATGATTTGGGAAGTATTCTCTTCTACTTTTTGGAGAAGTGTGTAGTCTAGTTTTAACAGCAGTACAGTAGCTCAGTGAGTGGGTATATTTAACTAGTTCCTTATCTAGGGATCTTTGCATATAACGATGCTGCACTGACATCATCTATACAGACAAGTACATCTGTAGTTTTCAGGTCAAAGGGTATGTATATTTTATTTTATTTTATTTTTTTTAAAGAAAAAAAATTTTTTTTTTTGTTTATTTATTTGACAGAGACAGAGATAGCGAGAGCAGGAACACAAGCAGGGGGAGTGGGAGAGGAAGAAGCAGGCTTCCCCGCTGAGCAGGGAGCCCGATGTGGGACTCGATCCCAGGACCCTGGGATCATGACCTGAGCCAAAGGCAGACGCCTAACGACTGAGCCACCCAGGTGCCCCAGGGTATCTATATTTTAAATTTTGATAGATATTGGTAATCTGGTCTCTAAAAAGTTACAGCCTACTGTTTTCATTTAAATAACCTTTACTTTTATCTAAGGAAGTATGGTGTACATGTGTGTGTGTATGTGTGTATGTATGTACGTGTATTTGTGTTGCATGTGTTTACAAATAATCAGGAAGTCTTTGGATCTGACCTGGACTTTGGTACTTCTTAGGTGGAGCAGGGCATGTCAAAACTCATTCTGTTTCTCTCCTTTCCTCCCTGAGATATATTTAGGGTTAGTGACAAGTCCTCTAAGTGCTTCCAGATTTTTGGACATCTGCTGAACCCTAGGATAAGTGGTGGGAGACCTGGTCTACAGTTGGTAAACAGGGGAAAAAGGCAAGTTAGAAGATTTGGATGGGAGAAAGGGAACAATGCAGCCTCTGTTGTCTCTACCCTTCTTGTAATAATACCCAACAAACTCCAGGTTGCAGAAAAACTGACTTAAATGGGGAAAAGCATCCGTCTCCATTAACATCCTTCAATGCACAGAGGCTAGTCTGCTGTGAAGAACAGGATCCTGAGTAACTTGCAGCTAGCTGTGGGATACATGGAGCAATGTGTACTTTCTGCCCTGAAAATGAAGTACAAACATGAGAAGAAATATGTGGTTGGAGAAATAAAGCCCAAAGAAGCCAGTGGTAGATTTGTGCTATTTTTATTACATAAAAGATGAGAAAATTCAAAAGTAAAACCTTGCCTATTTTCTTCTTTGAAGATCAGACCTATCTGGTTTATTTAATATTGACATTCACCACAGCTCCAGGAAATTAAACTGAACCTTTAGAAGGTATCGCATACGGACCTGGTTGGGGTTATAGACAATAAATTCATTGTAGTTAAGGGTATAGCCCTCTGGATTCAGAATTCCTGTATCACTTGCTGGTCCTAAGGGTACCGTACTCCCATTCCTGCCAAATGGAAAAAAGTGTGTCAACATCTGCCTCTGGGTCAGAAGTCGGAATATAGAAAGCAGAGTCTTATCTGGCCAAAAGAAGCCTTCTGGCCTTAGAGTCTCTGAGTACTCACAGGGTGATGAAGGAGGCAGGTCTGGGAGCCATCCTGCCCAGTCCCTTGGTGCTGTGTTTGCCCTGAAGTAATCCTTCTGCCTCAGGATTGGCCTCTAGTAGCTCATTACACTGACCCAGAGCGACCTGCAAAAGCAAAAGATCTTTAAACACCCACATCCTACTGAGAACCGGATGGCTCTAAGGCCAAACAAAAAAATCCCATCGGTACTTTCTTCCCCTCGTCCTGCAGAGGAATGGAATGGAAATTGCCCTTGGCTCCCCTCTCAAGTTCTCCCAGGTGAACCTCTTGGTTCTGGAGTCAAACTTTTCTCTCTGGAAAAACAGGAACTAATAATAAGCTAGAGATCATAAATATGGTCATCTCACCTCTGATAAAAGCAGCAGTCCGGTATCCTTTACTCGAGAAGCAAAGCAGTAATTGGCACTCTTAGAAGACATGTCGGCAAAGTAGATTCCTTTCCCAAACTGAAATATGTAAACAAACTTAATCCACTGTGTTAGAACGGAGGCCTGTATCACTGACCCTGTGTTTCCATGATCTTAAACACATTATAGACCCTTCTCCATTTCCCCCTGCAATTCTTTTCCAGAAAGCAGGTGTATTGGTGAGTTTCTGCTTTCTGAGCCGGCAGAAGGGATATCTTTAGGAATTTAAAGAAAGAGGGACATAGTAAGAAATGTCAGGGTGTGAAAAAAGAAAAAAATATGTCAGGGTTATCAGTGAGCTGGTTTAATTCTTGGGAAGGGTACTGCTGAATCCTAATCTAAAAAAAATGGGGGGGGGGGACGAAGGACTGAGAAAATTATGGTATCCTTTATCCTTGTGCCTCCTTCCAGGATTCAATTTCTACTCACCATGTAACCTGTGATGGGAGCCTCAGGTGGGGCAATTTGAAGCCCGTGGCTCAGGATTCCCACCCAGTTACTAAGCCTGGAACCATGCCACAGCAGCATCCTAGGGAAAAGCCACTATTATTGTACTCTCTTGCTCTCCAGCAGAGATAGGCCATAAGCATAAAAAAGCCATTTTCTGGAAGTCCCATAACTGCACTTCAGGCAAGGGAATGTCCTCCCAAACCCAAAGCTAAACTGAACCTGTTATGAAGGTCCTCTCTGAAGGCTTCTTTTTCACCCTCCTTCTCCACTTCAAAAACATCCAGTAAGGTCATGGTATAGTCTCTGTGTGTGGGAGCATGAGTAGACTGCAGGTACTGGGAAATCACCTGTGAAAAGAAAGAAATGGCTGGTGTGGACTCTGTAAGAGACCAGACTGAGCTGAAGAACCTCAGGGCTTCTGGTAAAAACTGGCAGACTTTCTGCTCCCTAATGGTCTCACAAGACAGTGAGAAAGAGCTCTACCTTCTCCAATTCCTGGTAAATTGAAATTCAGCTCTATATAAAAGTTTGCTCTTGGGCAACCCTCTCGGGTCCCTTCTTTCTTCAGGAGCTTTGTACTATCACTCAATAAATCTTGCTTGCTGCTCACAAAAAAAAAAAAAAAGAAGTTTGTTTTTAACCAGAAGTAGTCACAGAACAGTGGGGTTAGGAGGATGGGTCTTAAAGGTGGAAAATAAATGATCATTTTTCTTACTTTGAACTCGTAACTTTCATGGTCAAGAGGGCACAAGGCACAATGTAGTTTTCTATAGTGTTGGTCCAATGGGTGTTCTGGGCTTTGCAGCTCTGTCTTCACCAGCTTAATGGCAATTTCAATGTCTTTCAAAGCCTGGCAAGATGAGATACAGGATCAACGTGTAGGGACTTGGAACCAGAGAGTAATACTTCCCAATCCACACATATCTCACCTCTAGTAGTTGTACTTTGTCTGATAGTTCTTTCTCTGTCCGGATTAATGGAGGGGTACGGAGTCTAAGGACAGAGATATAATCCATAATCAGTTCTCTTGACAGGTGGCCAAAGGCACATGACTAAAAGTAACAGACTAAAGATAAAACAAACACACTGTATAGATTTTGACATCTGGGACTAGAAATGAAATTCTTTTTTATGGGTTCCCTTAATATATCTACATCTATATACACAACTTTATAATTTGAAAATGATCACTGCAAGTTCAGTTACTATTCCTCACCATATGGTTGACCCCCTTCACCCATTTCACCCACCCCCAACCCCTTTCCCCTGTCTGTTCTCTGTATCTATGATTTTTTTTTTTTAAGATTTTATTTATTTGACAGAGAGAGACACAGTGAGAGGGAACACAAGC